TTCTATTATTATTTCTAGTGTGCACCCTATATAATATAATTACTCGTATTTTTAGCCTAATCTTGAGATTCTACAAGGGTTTATTGTTTAACACACCAACAATGCTTTATTTATCTTAAACCATATATTGTAATCTACACCAAAGAATTTTCTATGANAAATAATACATTTTAAACAAATAAATTAAACTGTGTTAAAACGTGCGCACTTAAAAACATTTGTTTTCTTCGTGGCTTGAGTAAGGACATTTCAAGAACACCCCCCTTGGGAGGATGGAGGGGAGGGGGGGGAGTAACCTTGAATATATGGAATAAAACTTCACGTCAAAATCTAATAAAATGCCTGAAACAAAGCCTCCTTGTCCCTCAAATCAATTCATCTTCCCCCCGGATTGTTTTGGAATAATATCTACAGAAGCGATGGATTGTCAAACATGTCAAAATATCAGCTGAATCAACTCATCACATAACTCAAGGTTGAACAGGACTAGGAATAAAAAAACAGGGGGGGGGGGTGTCTTTAGTGTTCACTTTTCTGGTTCCTCTTCATGATTGCAATGTTCGTTTCTTTGTATGTCCAATCATAACTCATGAACCCTGGACCAGTTTGTCTCAAATTTTGACTGATGAACTCGGTAGAACTACTGAATTGTTTTAAATATTTGCGTTTAAATATTCTTAAATACCAATGTTAAAAAACTAATCAAATATTTAAAACGACTGTTTTTGTGGACACCATTTTACATACCTAAACACTACACGCACCTCTGACCCTTTTGTTAAAGTAAATGAAACCTAAAGTTTGACCGCGTCAACCTTGTTGCACCGGGTAGTCCTATAGAGTGAGTGCATTATTTACCCGATGTCCGGGCGATACAGTACAAACTCGAACCGGAAAGGTTGACCCGGCTAGGAAATTCAAATGTACTACGACTGCCCGTGACTAAGCAATTGATTGCACAGTTTAATATTTATTTATTTATTCACACTCTAGAATAAATAGATTTTTTACTAGTTACTTGTTAATATTTGTCTGTTACAAATCTTATAAAACTATTACCATTTAACCATGCTAAGATTTATTTATTGCTTCTTTTGACAAAATAAATTTTTTTGTTGTTGCTCATATTGAAAATCTTATTCTTCTCCGTTATCAAGGGCAGCCGTAGTACATTTGAATTTCCGAGCCGGGTCAACCTTTCCGTTCCCAGTTTGTATTGTACCTCTTGTACCTTGCTCTATGGACAGGACTAGCCGGTGCAACAAGGTTGACGCGGTCAGACTTTATGCCTCATATAGGTTGAATTTACTTTTACTAAAGGGGCAGAGGTGCGTGTTATAGGCCAGGAAGTTTATGCAGCTCGACATAAATGCAATTGTTCAATCAAAATATAAACAGTGGAGGACAAATTAAACAACATACTGAATACAAATTAGAACTTGCTTAGGGGCGTTAACAGTGACGTGATTGTCATAAGTTTAAAGAATATCAATAGAATTTAAAAATGCTATGCACCCCAAATCCGCAAAAATATGCGGATCCGCGGATCCTAATCAAAATGGTTAAAAATAAAAACAGAAATGCAAATTAAACAATATACTGCATACAAATTAGAACTTGCTTAAGGTGTATGTACTGTTTATTTTTAACCAAGATTATTAATGGGATTTGGAATATGTTAGAATTTGAAAAAAAAACCAGTCGGATCCACAGATTCCCATCCACAGATCCGGATCCACAGATCCGTATCCACAGATTCGGATCCACAGATTCGGATCCACGGATTCGGATCCACAGATCCGGATCCACAGATTCGGATCCACAGATCCGGATCAAAATGGATAAAAATAATAACAGTTAAACAATAAACTGAATACAAATTATAAATAGCTCAGGGGATTATGTGTTTAAAACTTACTCAGAGGCGCAGTTTAATAAAAATAAATGGTGCCATACAAGGAGTCTCAAATTTAAATAAAAGACTTCAGTAAATTATGTAAAGTCGTCTTCGAAGACTCGTCTTTTATGGATGACGATGTAATTTTACTATTTTTTATTGTGTGGGGTGGGGTGGAGAGTGTGCGACACCAGTTCTCGTTAGATCACTGAAGTTAAGCACACTTGTCCACAGCCAGTAACTGGATTGGTGTCCAAACTGGTGTTCACGGGTTGGATTCCCGTACTCCACACAAACCTGTGGTTTCGAAAAAAACATCTGAAGCCGACATCTGGTTAGGCAAATATGACCACCTGACGGATGTAGGAGGACAAAGGCTGTCAACAACTTTCTCAGCGAAAGGGTGCGTGCTTTCTACTCAAAAAGAAAGAAGCTTTAAGTGGATTGATCCAAGTGAATGATGATGAAGAGAGGAATGGTGGACTAGCAGGGAGGGTATATGGTTGCCAGCTATATGTATCTTAGGCAGCTGGATTCTTGTCAGCCCTCTTCTCAGTATGAATGAAGCGTGGATGGATGAATGTGCTGCCAGATTACAACCCCTGCTAGATCAATATAAATAAACCCAGACAATACCATAACTTTCGCAATAGAAAAATTCCGAGATTTGATCGTAACAACCCGATTATGTCCTGGGGACAAAAAATCTATTTTAAAAACTATTTATTTGTTCGTTGTGTCTTACATTCTTACATTGATGTAATCCTGTAATAGTGAAAAGTTAATTACATTCTTACATTGATGTAATCTTGTAATAGTGCAAGTTAATGTGGGAAAATAATAAATCTCAACCGCAAAAAATCTGCTTAGCTTCACACAATAAACACATATATGAAGACGACATTCAGGCTTTGTTTAAATAATTACAGGCTAATTTTTTGGAATAATTAATTTCATAGCTTCCTAATTCAGTCCCATTCATTAGGTTGACATTAAAGAGACTGTGTGACCCTAAATGCAAACATGGAAATGTCCGATTATCAATGGTACCCTAAGTATACGCGAGCAAAGATACTCATGTTTTTGTTTATTTAAACTGAGCTGAAAACTTCAGAATGTGATATCCTTAATCCCGTTCTGTTAATTAATCTGGAGATTAAATTCATGAGGAGAACAAGCAATATTTAATCAGGAGATAAAGAAAAAGAGTGGATCAAGCATTAATCCCGATATCCACCAAGTTCCCAGCTCAGTTCAATTTCTCTGCGAAAGTGACTTGCGCAATTCTTGTGTATAATAAGTAATGGAGAAATTATCAGAAGCAACCACTTTTCGAGTCTGAAAAACGAAGGTATCTTCCACATTTTTGATCAGATAAAGGTTTCCAGGGTACCGTTGTAAATCGGGTATTGCCATCTTTACGTGGAGGGTCGCTTGAAATTAAGCTTACAGTCCCTTAAGATACTGCAGTAACTGATTCTGATTCAAAAAATGAGTTTGAAAATTTTTTAGAGCTGTCCATATTTCTTATAAAAATCATCAAATTTGTAAAATCTTTCTACAGTGATAGAGGAAGGGGCCGGGGTAATATCTTTTTGCCCCCTCCGGCTAATTTCGATTTCACAGAACTGAAAAAATTACATGCAAAAACTCTTAAACAATTTTAATATCCCCCCCCCCTCTCATCTCATTTAATGTAGTTGCGATTTTGTGAAAATAGGAGATGGAGGGAGGTGGGTATAAATATCAGAGGGGAAGGTTAAGAACGGTGGTAGTCTAGATTTAGTTTAAGATTAATTGAACTCCTATTTACAGAGCTATTAGAGATAATTATTGGTAGTGTTGGTAGAGGTTACAGGTTACAGATTATTCTTCATTAACACAAACAGACAAACAAACAGAAACAAAACAGACAAACAGATACAAAAACAGACAAACACAAACTGACAAACAGAAACAAAATAAAGAAACAGATACAAACAACAGACAAACAGATGAAAAAACAGAGAAACAGATACAAAAACAAAGACAAACAAAAACAAAAACAGACAAACTAAAACAATAACAGACAAACAGAAAAAAAACAGACAAACACAAACACAAATAGTCAAACAGAAACAAAAACAGACAAACTGAAACAATGACAGACAAACAGAAACATAAACAGACAAACACAAACACAGACAGACAAACAGAAACAAAAACAGCCAAACAGAAACAAAAACAGACAAACAGAACCAAAACAAGACAAACAGAAACAAAAAAGACAAACAGATACAAAAACAGACAAGTGTGTTGATTAAGCCTTGTAGCTGTCTGATCTATGTGGCACAGACACACTCCCACCCATACGAACAAACAAACGGCGAAGAAGACTAAACAAACATATGTAATGCAACAAGCGAGCTGTATAAATATCAAATATTTATGAGTCCCATTTCAACACTGCACGCTCCAAACCCTTTTAAATATGATTCAGGGGTGAATTTTACCTCGAAAAATCNCCCCCCCCCGTTAGAAAATCATTTCCCCCCAGAAATTAGTATGTTATGTAATTTAAGGGGTTCTTTGCTAAATTGGAGAAAATAAATGACTTGAAGGGGAAATAAATGAATATCAAAAAGAATGAAAAAAAACTTGCCATTTGTTGTTCTTTTCTTTGGTTTTCCCTCAAAATCATCAAAAATAATTTTTATTCAGGGTAATATACACCCCTGAAAAACACGGAACAAATTGACCAAAAGTTTAGAGCTTTGTTATGAAGTAAAAGGAAGAATTAAATGTAATTAAAAAGTTTTTAAAAAGATGTTAAAAGCAATTACTTTACATTTTTCCCTAGTAACTTAATATTTAATAATTTTAAAATGATCTTTTTACAAACGCTATTATTTCCCTTGTTCAATTATTAATTTCCTAATTTGAATCTTATCATTTCATTAGGTATGTCACGATGTCCTTAATAAAAAAAATGTCATCCAACTGTAAGATATATCAATATTTAAAACATTGGAAAATGTTAATGATTGTAAAGATTGATTTTTTTAAACAAAAATAAAAACTATCCCTTCCTTGACAACATGAAAATTGAAAAACCATTTCCTACCTTAATTGCAGATCTAAGTTTCTTCTTCTTATCCTTAAAAAATAATAAATTAAAATTATTTCACGGGAAAAGTGTTTTTCAAAATTAAGTATAAAGAAATGCTTTGATTTTATATTAGATGATGTTTTTATGAGGTCGGAACTACCCGGGCAAGTTTTTTTACTTTGAATTGTTAAACCAATGATATAGTCTTTCATGTACACTTAACCATTCAGATGTCTGATAATGATAAACAGGGGCGGATACAGGAATTAAGTGAGGGGGTGCTAGATTTATTTCGGAACAAGAACATCCAGATTTAGGAACATTTTTTTAAAGATAGATATTTTTCCTGTTTTGCACTAGGTTTTCTTTCCCTTAAGTGCCATTGAGGAGCTATTCTGAAATCTCAGGGGGTGCGAAGGTCCTGCCGCCCCCCCTGTAAATTGCATCATATATTAAACAAATAAAAAATATTATAAAGTATCAATTATTTACAAATGCGTCAAAATATAATCGATGATTATAGATAGTAATATCTGAATGATTTGTTCCAAATTAATTCGATTTTTTACGATACGAGTTGAATATTTCTGAATTTGTATGGACGCTACGTTTTTCAGAATAAGTTGTTTTAACACTTTTCTCCTTATAAACGCAGCAGATAAGACATAAGACATAAGATACAATTAGGGTGACTCGCAAAAATTCTCCCAAATAAAGATTCAATTTATTCGAAAAAATAATGGCTTGTTCAACGAACTATTCAGGTAGTTCGATGTGAGTGAGTACACAGTAGCAGTACTATGCACACCACCAACCTCGTTATATAACGCCTAGTTGGCCTTTTTGGGTTTAACCTAGATTAATATGAAATGGAAATGAGGTATAGAATATTAAAAAGATTAATTTGAAGTTGAGGTGTAAACTTATAAATTTATACTTACCTAAAGTGTTGTTAGGTATAATTTGAATTTAAGGGGTAAACAATTAACATGTATTAAAAAATAGTTATAGGGATTACCAGTATTCTAGCCAGCATTTCGTAAATCATAGACTTAATTGCTTAAATTAAACTTACTTTTAGTTCAGCCTCATATGGATTTTAGAGAAGAATTGGTCCCTTAGTTCAATCAGTATATATCCTCGTGTCACATAATCTTGCAAGGGTAGGTTTTTTTGGCCTCCAAGGAATTTCCTTACAATGTTGACTGGTTGTTCTCCCGGTTGCCTGTTAGTGTCAATCCAAGACTGCAGAGAGACTTCTTCTGATACATGAAGTGACTTTCTAACATCTACCATAGCAGTACATTGTACAAGGAGATGAATTTCATTATTGGACCCTTTTAGACACAAAGGACATATTACAACCCTATCCTGATGATTTGAAACTGCTAAATCCTTCAGATGATCATCCCTGTTTCCCAGCTTGGCATTCCCTACTCTAAACTCAGTTAAAGCTAGGGACCAGGATTCGTCTTTTAGGTACTCTTGTTTCCTCCACCATGCTTTAGGTATTGGTAGAGCTGCCAGTGATTTTAAAGAATTGACTTTGTGTATTATTTCCTAAATACTATGTTCTTTCAGCAAAGCTAATGATGTAGAGTTTATTGTTTCTGGCTTCTGATTTATGGGTTCTACTCGTCTTGCTAAATCTTTGTAGAAAGGGGATGATTTCTCAGCTAGTTCTTGTATCATTAATAGTTTAACTAATTCACTAGTTTGGGAATCTTTCTCTAGGACATTCTGAACATATCTTATTTTCCTCTCTGATATTAATAGACCTATTGGTTTTAAACCTAGCTCTGTATATATGACTAGACTCGGCGTAGAATGCCTAACTCCAAGTATGCTTCTACCAAGAGTGATTTGAATAGCTTCCAGGTCATCTTCTTGTGTTTTATCAAAGGGAATAGCTTCCAGTCCATATATGATACTTGGAATAGCTACATTGTTCCACATAGCTAGATACACCTCTATCCTATCTGGTATTAGTCGTCTCATTCTCAAGATGTTCCTTTGATAAAGCTTAGCCTTTTCTAATTTATTTGCGGCATTGCATACCATTGTTGAGTTGACTCCATACTTTTGTAAGATTCCTAGGTACTTAAAATCCTGAAGTCTTTCTACGTCTTCATATTTCCCTGATTCAAGGTTCAAGATCCTCCAAAGTAGATTTTTATCCGGTGTAACCACCTTAGTTTTGGAAACTGAAATAACCATTCTAAAATCCTGGCACCACTTCTCTAATATTTTTATCAAGATCATTATCTCCGACCATAACCCACTAAACATAACGAGATCATCAGCAAACTTCAGAAAGGACAAAAGGATATTATTGTAAACTGGTATTCCTACATTTGCCTTCCTTAGGCGGTTCCCCAACTCCGACAGGTAAATTATAAATAGAATTGCTGACAAATTACAACCTTGTCTTAATCCACGTGTCAGATACAATTTCCGAGTTGTTGATCCTGCTGTAGAGGATGTTATGTAGTCGTGACTATAGTAGTCTTTGAGGAAGTCTATGAATGAGGCAGGGAAGTTCAGCTGCGATAGCTTCTTATACAAAATCATCCTATCAACTCTATCATACGCCTCTTTCAGATCTAGGAAAAGCAGGTGAGTGACAGCTTTCTTTTGCTCAGCTTTAGTTAGTATTGAGTTGATAAGATAGATGTTATCTTCACATCTTCTCCCTTTTCTGAAACCTTGCTGCTCTGGGCCTAAAATTTGCGAAGATTCCACTGCTGCAGATATTCGTTTTGCAATTATTTTGGTCATAAGCTTACTTATGCAAGAGATAAGAGTTATTGGCCGATAATTTTCTATGCGTGTAGGAGGATTTTTTTTTGAGCACAAGGACAACTTCCCCTATTTTCCAGTCTTCGGGTACACATCCTGATATCAGGACATTGTTGAATATTTCAACTAGTTTTTCCTCTGCAGCTTCCGGTAAGTTTTTTAACATACTGTTTGTGACACCATCTTCCCCTTCTGCTTTTGATGAATCTAGCTGTTGAATATTCTGTTTCAACTCTTCTAATGTGATTTCTTGAGAAATAGAAACTGAATCCTTATGTGTTAAGACTCTTTTTGGAATACCCAATTTGTTAACATCTATGTAAGATTAGTCGCAATCACCATAGAATATATTTCGACGTCAGCCGATACCCCCTTTAATTTTTTGCGAACACTCCCTTTAATTCACCTGTATTTTCCTGGTATATGAGATCATTGCATAGGTGTAGGGTATTCCAAGCTGTACAGATGCAACCATGTGATACCTGAGATAATATAACGTCATTTATATAATACCAAAATTAGTGTCCGTCTAGTCCGTCTATGTTATTTCTAGTCAGAATACCAAAATTAGTGTCCGGCTAGTCCGTCTATGTTATTTCTAATCAGAATACCAAAATTAGTGTCCGTCTAGTCCGTTTATGGTATTTCTAGTCAGTTTATGGTATTTCTAGTCAGAATACCAAAATTAGTGTCCGTCTAGTCCGTCCATGTTATTTCTAATCAGAAAATCTAATATTTACAATTAACAATTTTGAAATTTGTAAAACTTGTCAAATTTTGAAATTATTTCCTATTTCTCTATTAAATTATGTCTAGGTCAGTCAAAATCAGTCAATTTTGTAAGGTCAGTCAGTAAATCAAAGTCAAGCTGTAAATCAAAGTCACGTATTTGGGTGGCTTCTTTTTTATTTTCTTACTTGGGTGTGTCCCTAACAATCATGGTTTCCATTCCACTTTGCTCCTGATATATCAACTTTCAACTTCAGAATATTGATTTCCTGCTCCAAAGCAATACTATCACTTGTTTCAATCAGGCTTAGGTTTGTAGAATAGGTCAGATACCCAACTAAAATAGGTTTAATTAAAGGTTTTAGATATTCAACTAGAATAGGTTTAATTAAAGGGTCTGTATTATATATCCAACTAAAATAGGTTTAATTAAAGGGATTGTTTCAGATATCCAACTAAATAGGTAGAATTAAAGCGACTGTATTAGATATCCAACTAAAATAGGTTTAAATAAAGGAATTGCTTCAGATATCCAACTAGAATAGGTTGAATTAAAGGGACTGTATCAGATATCCAACAAAAATAGGTTGAATTAAAGCGACTGTATCAGATATCCAACTAAATAGGTTAAATTGAAAGGGACTGTATCAGATATCCAAGTAAATAGGTTTAATTAAAGTGACTGTGTCAGATATCCAAGTAAATAGGTTTAATTAAATGGACTGTGTCAGATATCCTACTAAAATAGGTTGAATTAAAGAGACTGTATCAGATATCCAACTTAACAGGTTTAATTAAAGGGATGTGTCAGATATCGAACTAGAATAGGTTTAATTAAAGGGACTGTATCAGATATCCAAATAAAATAGGTTTAATTAAGGGGACTGTATTAGATATCCAAGTAAATAGGTTTAATTAAAGGGACTGTATCAGATATCCAAGTAAATAGGTTTAATTAAATGGACTGTATCAGATATCCAACTAGAATAGGTTGATTTAAAGAGACTGTATCAGATATCCAACTTAACAGGTTTAATTAAAGGGATGTGTCAGATATCGAACTAGAATAGGTTTAATTAAAGGGACTGCATTAAATATCCAACTGAAATAGGATTAATTAAAGGAACTGTGTCAGATATCCAACTTATACAGGTTTAATTAAAAGTGTCAGCTATCCGACTAAAATAGGTTTAATTAAAGGGACTGTATCAGATATCCAACAAAAATAGGTTGAATTAAAAGGACTGTATCAGATATTCAACTAGAATAGGTTGAATTAAAGGGACTGTATCAGATATCCAACTAAAATAGGTTTAATTAAAAGGACTCTATCAGATATCCAACTAAAATAGGTTTATTTAAAGCGACTGTGTCAGATATCCAATTAAATAGGTTGAATTTAAAGGGACTGGATCAGATATCCAAATAAATAGGTTTAATTAAAGGGACTGTATTAGATATCCAACTAAAATAGGTTTAAATAAAGGAACTGTTTCAGATATTCAACTAGAATAGGTTGAATTAAAGGGACTGTGTCAGATATCCAACTAAAATAGGTTTAATTAAAAAGACTGTATCTTATATCCAAATAAAATAGGTTTAATTAAAGAGACTGTGTCAGATATCCAAGTAAATAGGTTTAATTAAATGTACTGTGTCAGATATCCTACTAGAATAGGTTTAATTTAAAGGGATTGTATCAGATATCCAACTAGAAAGGTTTAATTAAAGGGTCTGTATTAGATATCCAACTAAATAGATTGAATTAAAGGGGTTTTATTAGATATCCAACTAAAATAGGTTTAATTAAAGGGATTCAGATGTCTAACTAAAATATGGTTATATAAGTGGACTGTGTCAGATATCAAATCAAAACAAATAACGTGTAAATCTAAGATGAAAAACAAAGTGGAATCCACAGAGTGCCTTCAGGGCGCTATGCACCACCGTGCAGATAGCGGTCTGGAGTTAGAATAGGTATAATTAGTGAGGAGTTAGAATAGGTATAATTAGTGTGGAGTTAGAATAGGTATAATAAGTCTGGAGTTGGAATAGGTATAATAAGTCTGGAGTTAGAATAGGTATAATAAGTCTGGAGTTAGAATAGGTATAATTAGTGTGGAGTTGGAATAGGTATAATAAGTGTGGAGATAGAATAGGTATAATTAGTGTGGAGTTAGAATAGGTATAATAAGTCTGGAGTTGGAATAGGTATAATAAGTCTGGAGTTAGAATAGGCATATTAAGTCTGGAGTTAAAATAGGTATAATAAGTGTGGAGTTGGAATAGGTATAATAAGTCTGGAGTTAGAATAGGTATAATAAGTCTGGAGTTAGAATAGGTATAATAAGTCTGGAGTTAGAATAGGTATAATAAGTCTATAGTTAGAATAGGTATATTAAGTCTGTTAATTCAGAGAAAAGCCTTCAACATTTAAGCCTTCAACCAATTAATGGGGGTAAACTATCAATTCAGAAAAAAATCCGCTAAGAAGACAAACTTGCCAATTTTAAGCCGGAAATAACTGTTGTTTTTACCTGTATTTTTATCCAGGTGAGTTTCTAAGGTAGTTGAGAATCCAGGCTTTATCCCTGAAAAATGTTCTTAATAAAACAAGAATATGTATACTATAGTAAAATTCATCTTTTATAAAAAATTATATAACTGAAGAAAAAAGTTGTGATCCTCGTAAAAAAAGGAACAAAACTAATCAGGGATTAAATTAATGTACAGGGCGTCCCACGAAACATGACAATAGCTTTGAACTTGGAATTTGTTTGTGACATTCAGTCGTCAACGTACTTAAACATGTATGATTCTTGAAACAATAACCACAATATATCTTATCCTGACATTTCCAAAATGTGGTCTGCCTTTTTAGTGCAGTCAATATTACCAGAGATATTAAGAATTTTGTTCAGCTTTCAATTTTGAAATACAAAACCAAAATTGTCGAAATCTGAACAAAATTCTTCATATCTCGGGGGATAAATTGTCATTAATCCTCTCTAGAATTTTAATTAAATCAAAAATCAAAGACGACGTTTAAGTCGTCTTGCTACTATCATGTTACCGAGGAACACCCTGTATTAAAATGTTACTAGAAAAATATTTAGTTGTACCTGATCTTGCAAACTGAAGTGTACCGCTCATATTTCCAAATACTCTTGATCCAAGTTTTCTGAATAATCAAAACAAGTTTTTATAAATTGTTTATTTGTAAATTTTATGAAATGTTACTTTTTGTAATCAGAATAGTTCAATGATAACCAGAAAACAATGGAATCGGAAGACGACATTATAGCAATACTTAAGTATATTTGATGTTGCTAAATATTCCAGTGACTACGTCAGTCATACCTACAGCCTAAAAGTCGTCTTCCTTTTTCAGAATTTTAAGGTTCTTACTGTAATGGAATCACGTGATTTTAATGACATATCAATTCTTATTTGACATAAAATTAAATATATTTTGTAAAATTGTTCCTGAAGTATTTTGTTCCCATTCCTAGTCCACTTCCCAGTCCTAAGCTGAACTCCTGAAAAACAAATTAATTTTTAAAAAAATCACTTCTCATTAATAAAAAATAAATAAAAGTAATTTTGTGCTTGATAACTATTTCATTTCTCAACATGCAATTCCGATATGAATTGTTCAATTGTTTAATATGATACAATTAAAACGCCAAAAAATTATTCATGATCTGCTCTTTAAAACATTCTGAGAATACAGATAAATTGTGCTGAGCCATTGTTGAAGTTAGCATCTCCCCCCCCCCTTTAATGAACAATTAGGATATTATGAAGTTTTCAGTAATCACTAAAAAGTTAACAGTCGAAATTTGTGTTTTAAAAGCAAAAATATTACTTTTGGCAGGTTTTAATTAACATTGTGGCCCTTGGCTCCGGATCCACTAAACCAAAAATGTTTCGGATCCGGATCCTAAGCACGGGGTGGGGGGGGGGGCACTGCCCTGCCAAGCACTCTCTGATTGAAATCTTCTGTAACCAACATTAAATCCTCCTTCTCCTCGACCTATATATTAGACTTAAGAAGAATTCCAAATGATCACAGACAAGAAACAGCCAAAAAAATATTTGTTTAAAGACATTTCTAAAATCGTCTTCATTTCTTGTTCGGATGGATTAAAGGAACAACAACTTCCTTCTAATAAGACCCTAACAATATTTTGGGAAAATTTGGTGTAATCTTACCATTTGATGTAGAAATATTCCCGGACAGTGTAGTAGTATCTGTAGTGGTCAATGGAGCCTAAAAGAATTTTTTTTCTTTAAAAAATATAAAAAAAATTTTCTGAATAATTGTCTTTGGATTAACTAGTCCTATGTTCGAATTTAATGAATTTAAGTCGCGTCTCAAATCCCCCAAAATCCGGTTTCAATTAAGCGCCGGCTTAAATCTTAAAATTGAATGCGATTTTAAGTAGAACAAACCCTCTTAAAATTCGGCCTCTGGTTATTTTTTTTTGAGCTTTCTTTAGGAAAGACATTTATGAAACAATATTAATTTTATTATAGGTAGACTGATTCTTTACCCAACTGGAAGGAGAATAAATCGATTTTTAATCGATATGAAAAAGAAAAACTGATTTTTTACATAAATGAAATGATATTGACTGATTTTTACCTGAATGAAAGGAGATGGACTGATTTTTACCTGAATGAAAGGAGATGGATTGTTTTTTACCTGAATGAAAGGAGATGGACTGATTTTTTACCTGAATGGAAGAAAATAGACTGATTTTTGAAATCTCGAATTGTGGTAGTTGACTATCAATAATATCATCATATTCGGACTCATACAAATACCTTAATCATAGAGTTAATACAGTTTTCAAACAAAAGGACGAAACCCTCCCCCCCCTCACTTCAAAAATAAATGTTTATACAGGATGTCCCAAAATACCAGTGATAATTAGAACCTCAATTTTGTAACCAATTTTAACGTTCTGGACATGATTGATATTTACCTAATGGTTGGTCCAAAATTAAGGCTCTAGCTACCATGATGGGGTTTTGGGACTCCCTGTATCATAAAAGTATCCCTATGTAGAAAAGGGGATGATGGAGATGTCCTATTTGATGTAAGGGGGGGGGGGGGGGGCCCTGCCTTCATTTTTGGTTCAAATCTTCCAATTTATTGGCTGCACGCTTAATTAGTGATCAAAAATCCTAATTTAAAATCAATTTGAATTTTAATGACCTATAATGACCTCTAAAGACTTCTCATGACCTCCACAAATAGAAGAAAATATTTCAACTGTGTCTTTATGCATATCAAACAAAATCTAGGAACCCAGGGAATACAGGAGCAGCAACAAATCCAGTGTTTGACCTTCTGATGACCTCTTACGACCTCTAATGACCTAAATGACCTCCAAAAATGAAAATGTTTTGACTATGGCTTCATGCATATCAATTAAAAGCAAGGAACCCCAAGAATACAGTAACAGCAACAAATCCAGTGTTGACCTTCTAATGACCTGTAACGACCTCTAATGACCTAAATGACATCCAAAAATGAAAATGTTTTAACTATGGCTTTCTGCATATCAAAGGAAAGCTAGGAACCCAGGGAATACTAGAGCAGCAACGAATCCAGAGTTAAACCTTCTAAAGACCTCTAATGACCTCTAATGACCTAAAGTGACCTCTAAAATGAAATGTTTCAATTATTGCTTTAAGCATATCAAACGAAAGCTAGGAACCCAGGAAATACAGAAGCAGCAACGAATCCAGTGTTGAACCTTCTAATGACCTCTAATGACCTCTAACGACCTCTAACTACCTCTAACGACCTTTAACGACATCTAACTACCTCTAACTACCTCTAACGACCTCTAACGACCTCTAATGGCCTAATATGACCTAAAAAATAAAAATGTTTTAACTATGGCTTTATGCATATCAATTGAAAGCTAGAAACCCAGGAAATACAGTAGCAGCAAAAAATCCAGTGTTTGACCTAAGGATGACCTCTAACGACCTCTAATGACCTAAAATGACCTCCAAATCGAAAATGTTTAACTATGGCTTAATGCATATCAAATGAAAGCTAGAAACCCAGGGAATACAGTAGCAGCAACGAATCCAGTGTTTAACCTTCTAATGACCTCTAACGACCTGTGATGACCTAAACTGAACTCCAACAATGAAAATGTTTTGACTATAGCTTTATGCATATCAAACAAAAGCTAAGAACCCAGGGAATACAGTAGCAGCAACTAATCCAGTATTTGGCTATCTCATGACCTCTAGGGACAAAAATGTTTATGGCTTTAAGCATATCAAACGAAAGCTAGGACCCAGGGAACGCTAGGAACCAGTAGCAGCAACGCTACTATTTTCTGTATTCTCTATACTGTTAAAAAATCTTACAGCTCTCAGTTCTTATTATGGTTTCCGGCGAACAAAAACTATTGCGAAAAAATGCGAAAATTTTCATTCGTATTTTGCTAACTTTTTCGCGGAATTTCGGGCTTTTTTTTCGCGAAACGAAGACGAATTTTTTAACAAAAAAATCTTTGCGACAATTTGGAGAAATTTTTTTGTCTTTCGCGAAATTTCTTATAAATATGTTTCGCGAAAAAATGCGAAATTTTCGCAAAACAAAAAATGCAGAATTTCCCGCAAATTAGAGAAAAATGTTTTAATTTTTGTATTAGTTCGCGAAATGTTCGCTTTTTTCTACGAACGGAAAGCGAAAAATGTGAAACTTTCGCTTAACGATTTCCCCATTTTGCTGGAAACCCTTTTCCACGGGGTGAATGTAAAAAAAAATGGAAACATGATGAATAATTTTACCGGTCAAACAGATCTGTGCAATTGACGGTCATCTGAAACCTGGAGACGGGGTTAGTTCGTTGCTGCAATCTTCTCTCCTCACGAACTCTGAAAACATTTATCTCTTTTATAAATTTGGCTCGTCTTCCTATGGATTTCTTGTGTCTAATTTGTCTAATACGGCCCCACTGATGGCTCCCAATTCTTTGCGGTAACTCCAAGAAGATCCAAGAGGAGGTCTGTTTCGCATTAAAATAAATTTTTTTAAGTTTGGGAAAAATCTCAGAAATTTGTTATTATTGAATATTGATTTGTCAAAATGTACAAAAGGTTATTACCAGAGAAATGTCCTGTAAACCTAATCTTTTAAAGTTGTGTGTTCGTCTATGAATGTCGTCTTCCTATTCAACACTTGACAGCTCTAAGGGTCCCACTAGTCACTATAAAATACCAAGGTCCTGTGAGATGATAAGGATGATATATTACTTAGCAATAGCTTCCTATTCCACACTTGATAGTTCTAAGGGTCCCACTAGTCACTATAAAATACCAAGGCCCTGTGAGAGGATAAGGATGATATATTACCTAGCAATAGCTTCATATTCCACACTTGACAGTTTTAAGGGTCCCTCTAGTCACTATAAAATACCAAGGTCCTGTGAGAGGATGAGGATGATGTATTACCTTGCAATAGCTTCATATTCTTCTCTTATCTCCCGTGGGGTTTTGCTTCTTTGCACCACTGCCCAGCCTTGCTCCTATCAATCAATCAATCAATCCAACTAACCACCAAAAAACAAACAAACAAACCCAACCACCAACCCAACCCAACCCAACAACTAACATAATCACCAACTCAACCCAACCCAACCCAACCCGACCCGACCCAACCCAACCACCAATCAAACAATCTTAATCCGCATATTTAGTACCTGTAATCCTTCCTTGCCCAGGCAGTCGTAAATAGCTCGTTTATGAGGATCTATGAGAACCTCGTAGCATCTCTTCAATTTAGTAAACAGGAGGTCAGCCTCTTCTCTTTTCACAGCATCCTTAGCATTTTAATTGTTATTAATATTATCATTAATATTCAAATCAAATCAAACCCCTTGGGAGCTTTATAAATCAAAATGAGATATTATTTTCATTAGTATCCTTGCAATTGGCATTAATCTTAATTTGCAAGTCATCAGGGTTGTGATTAAAATAATAATATTGTTTTTAATTTGGAAAAAAACACAAGATGCAGTTTCTTAAGGTTATTTTTTATTTTAAGCATTTTTTTCTTTCCCGTGACTTTGAAAGAATCTAATAATTACTTCAATATTCAATAGACAGAAGGATTGAATTGCAATATTTATTACGGCCACAAATTCTTATAATTCAATTTCTTAGCTCATGAAGCAAAAAATTGTGATTTCCCAAAAAAAAATGTTTACATATTTTCTCGTCAAATAAGACAAATTATGGTCTGAAGAAGACGGGCGGAATACTGATAAACGATGCTACAGAGAAAATCAGATAACAGTAGAATTCTCGTTTGTTTTCTTTCCATTTAAATAATGCTACCTAGGATTTGTACTTAAACTATTTCAAAAATGTTATTAGAAGTACACCAGTTCCAAAAATTACTAAGAACAACATCTTAAAAAAGAGTTCTTGATTAAAAGAAAGAACAAAGATGACGTTGATTTCAAAGTTTCCTGGTCCTCACTGCATCTTTGATTCCACTACCTGATGCTTGTCAGGATGATAAAGCCTGGCCAGACGTTTATAGGCAGCTGTAATCTCAACATTAGAAGCATTTCTGGGAACATTTAGGAATCCATAGTATTCATTATCAACTGGGTCTTCATCACTAGAAATTTAGAACATTTAATCCATAGTATTCCTTATCTACTGGGTCTTCATCAGTAGAAAAATTAGAACATTTAATCCATAGTATTCATTATTAACAGAATCTTCATTACCAGAAACATTATAACATTTAATCAATAAAATTAATTATCAACATTAGAACATTTAATCCATAGTATTCATTATCTACTGGGTCATCATAACTAGAAACATTAGAACATTTATCCATATTATTCGTTATTAACAGGATATTCATTACTAGAAACATTGTCATTAGATCATTTAATCCATAATATTCATTTTCTACTGGGTCTTTATCTCTAGAAACATTATAATATTTATCCATATTATTCGTTATTAACAGGATATTCATCACTAGAAACATTATCATTAGAACATTTAATCCATAATATTCATTATCTACTGGGTCTTTATCTCTAGAACATTAGAACATTTATCCATATTATTCGTTATTAACAGGATATTCATTACTAGAAACATTGTCATTAGATCATTTAATCCATAATATTCATTATCTACTGGGTCTTTATCTCTAGAAACATTTTAACATTTATCCATATTATTCGTTATTAACAGGATATTCATCACTAGAAACATTGTCATTAGAAGATTTAATCCATAATATTCATTATCTACTGGGTCTTCATTATTATCAACATTAGATCATTTAATCCATAATATTCATTATCTACTGGGTCTTCATTATTAGAAACATTAGAACATTTAATCCATAGTATTCATTATTAACAGGATATTCATTACTAGAAACATTACAAAAATTAAATTCACTTTGTTTCACTAACGTTCATGTGTTCAGTCACAATTTTCTGAATTTGAAAAGATAATATTTAACTTAAAACTTAACAGCGTTTTTTATATCATGAACTTTGAAAAAATCTTTCATATATAGAAAACCATTTTAAGCGTTAAAATATTTTAGTTTCGAGATAAACCAAAATCCAATATTTCTTCAGAAATGGTCTATTGCCCGTGCACAGACTCAAAATATACACAGAAGAACAAAGCGTAAGAAAATTGATCAAATTTAATATTTAGAGTAATAATTAATTGTTTAAAGAAACAGAACCAAACCTATGAGTCTATTTCATAACCAGGCTAAATTTCAGCAATCTAATTCGTATTTGATATTCAAATCAAATAATATCATGGATTGTAGAAAATAGTAAAAATTTATATTCAATTAAATTAAATTTTCCTATGTCCGGAGCACAATTGCTGTTTAATGTTTTTTTTTTGACTTTTTAAAATCATAATTTAAGTCTCAAGTCATCTTCCTATTCCGCAGTAGTTTTGTAAGTCCCACTTTATCTCTATCTGTGTATTAAAGATGAAAAAATGCTTAATTTTCACGTCTAAAACTTACAAATTTGCATCGGCTGCATGTCTTATTGGAATTATTTGATAGTACATAACTTCTGAAAAGTACAGTACACTACTGTTCTCACTGTATTTGATAGTACATAACTTCTGAAAAGTACAGTACACTACTGTTCTTACTGTAAGCATAAAAGAGAAATTCTACATTTTTCAGTCATCACCAAACGTGAAAACAACAAACAAAAAACCAGTTCTGTACCTTGATGAGAGGGGATCCTCCTCTTCTGAATGCCTTCCCGGCATTTTTCTGTAAATAAATCAACAATATATATTTGTACTAAGGTTAGTTAATTGTACTAGAAGTACAGTATACAGTGCACTATAAGTTCACTTACAATACAATTTATAAATAATACTAAAAAGGGTTTTTCTTATCTTTTTCAGTGTTTTGTTTATGTGTTCTATCTTTTGCATATTTGGAATATTTAATCTTGCAACAATTGCCATCTTTTTATGTTGTTGTATAATCAAAAATAAAGATTTGATTGAACTAGAATTTTTCAGAAATATAACTGTCAAAATTATTTGTGCAATTAAGGGACACAATAAAAATCAAAGAAATGAACTGCATGACATCAAAACAAACACAGTCCCTTCACAACACAAGGCAAGTTAAAAAAAAGTTAAATTAGAAGAGTCAAACTCTTCCCACAAGAGATCACATGATAAAGCAGGTATGGAAGACATTTTAAATGATCACTGCATAGTGATCATCATCATAAACTTGTTACCCTAATACTGATCAAAATTTGTTCATTTAACATAATTGATTTTAACTAAAACTGAAAATGCCCTAATTTCATGTAATTGAGTATTCACATGTTTGAGATTTATTTCATGTCAAATTTCGAGATCTAAATCTGAATAAAGCGAGTACAGTACAAGGGATCTAAATCTGAATAAAGCGAGTACAGTACAAGGGATCTAAATCTGAATAAGGCGAGTACAGTACAGGGGATCTAAACCTATAAAAAGCGAGTACAGTACAAGGGAGTTCCAGAATACCATAATTGTTTATTGATTTTCAATAAACTAGGTATTTTATCCCATTTATATAAGTCCTCCGAGCAAACAAATACACAAAAAAAGTTATAAATTTTTGTCAACAGCTTTATGTAAAACTTAGATTTTGACGGATTAGCTAAAATTAGGCTATTTCTAGCTAACTTATACGTAAGGTTAGCTAAAATTAGGTTAGTCTTAGTTGATGTTCAGATAGGGTTAGCTATAATTAAGTTATTCTTAGCTGAAAGAATTTAGGATTAGCTAGATTATCATAATATTAAGTTATTATTAGCTACATCTAATATGTTTATCTAAAATTTGTTTATTCTTAACTAACTCTCAGATAGGGTTAGCTAAAACCGTGTTATTCTTAGCTGACGATCAGATACGATTAGTTGGGTCAGCTAACATTGGTTCACTCTTAGTTAATGCTTAGGTCGGACGTTTAGATAGAGTTATCTCAAGTTGAGAACTAGGTCATTATTTGGTATTTCATTAATAGCAGCGCTGCACGATTTTTTCCATTTTTTAAGTTTTATATAAAGCTAAATTAGTCGTCTAAATACTTTTTATGTAGGGAGCCTTAGGATACATAGTAGAATGGGAAAATATACAGAGCAACATTTTTTTGGTACACCCTACTGAGTAAATGGGTAAATCATTGTAAGAAAAATTCTTGTTTCACTATCTTTTCTTTTTTCTTGTTTTCTGTCTGTCTAAGATGTTCTCCGGAGTGACAGGGTTCTCAATGATAAGCTTCCTGTGCTCCCTGGTTACAGTAGGTTTCGGAGTAACCTCCATCCTTCTCTGCAGCTTGGCAAGCTTTCTCTGGAACTGCTGGATGTGAGATTGTTCAACTACGCTCATCTCATCCTCACTCCGCTCCGTCCTAACCTCATTTAGTCGGTTAAACGTTCTAGAGTGATCTCTGGCGATCTCTATTTCTTGATCTCCGTTGCTCGCTGCTCGGAGATCTCTACAGATCTTCTTGTAATAATGAAGTTCTTTTTCTAAAGATCTTATTTTCTTTTCTTCTTCTCTGCCTCCTCCCCCGCCCTGTTCTCCTAGCTGCTGAACCAAATGGTTAATTTTCATCTGAAACAAAAACAAAAATAATCTTTTTCTCCAATCAGAGCTGACAACTTTAGAACTGTGGATATCGAGATAAAATGTTTTTCTCCTCTTTTTGTTAATTTCAAGATAATTTAATCTTTTGTTTATATCATGGAAATTGGAAAGTGTATTAAATTCAACCAATCAGAGTGTTGATTGCTTTACATTTGTCTATTAAGCCCTTAAAATTCAAACAAAAATCTAGATGCATAAATAAATCTACTTTAAATTATTAGTTTGTAAAATATAAACCATTGATATCTATATCATGCTTGATCAGACAAAGTTTTTAAGGATACCGTTGTGAATCGGGCAGTGCCATCTTTGCATTAAGGGTTACATGAAATAACGCTCACACTCCCTTTAAGTATAATTTTCTGGTGTTTACCTGGTATTCCCTCTGCTGTACCACAAGTCTTCTCTCGGCATCTAATTTACTTCGTTGTAAGGAATGCGCCAGATCTCGAACATATCTTGGTGAAATTAGTTGAATAAATAATCTAATATTAGGGTAAATATAAAGCTTGAAGTATAAATTTTTGTTCAGAAACTGAACAGAAATCTTAATTATTTCTCAAAATGTCCCAGGACAATTATGAGAAATAATATCCCAGAAGTTTTCCAATTACAGGAAAATACACGGGATATTAATTCTCTCAAAATGGAAAAAAATAAAATTATTCTTATCATTTTTCTTCTTCANAATTTTCTGCAATTCGGTCAGTTTAATTATAAATTATTTCGACACACCCGGATCTACATCTTACAGAGTGTCAAACATTTGAATTATAGATCAGTCCCTTTAAATAATGTTTGTTTACCTTCCTAATTCATTATATTGTTCTTCTACTTCCTCAACATGGACTTCCAGCTTCCTGCCTGACAAATATTAAATCAAATCAGACTTTTAGGGAGGTCCTAACTATCCACAATTCAATTTCGAGACGACTTTACTAAATCAAGACAACCTAAATTGGTCGAGGTCAATTTTATTAGCCGAGGTCAACTTGATTAGTCGAGGTCAACTTTATTAGTCGAGGTCAACTTGATTAGTCGAGGTCAACTTGATAAGTCGAGGTCAATTTTATTAGCCGAGGTCAACTTGATTAGCCGAGGTCAACTTGATTAGTCGAGGTCAACTTGATTAGTCGAGGTCAACTTTATTAGTCGAGGTCAATTTTATAAGTCGAGGTCAACTTGATGAGTCGATGTCATCTTTATTAGTGGAGGTCATCTTTATTAGTCGAGGTCAACTTGATTAGTCGTGGTTAACTTGATATGTCGAGGTCAACTTGATTAGTCGAGGTTAACTTGATATGTCGAGGTCATCTTTATTAGTNGGGTGAATTTGGATAATATTAAACCCTGAATATAAAATTAAAGTTGATTTTGTTTCACCTTCCATCCTGAGATCAAGTACTCTGATAAAGTATTTGTGTAGAAGAGATCTTGTCTCCCCGACCCCTAGATTGACCAGCCTGTCCACCAGGAGGTTACCACAAGGTATACAGTAGTCAATATTCCTCTACAATAACAAAATTTAACATTTAAAATACTGGAATTCAGGGTGATCTGGGACCCTAGAATTGTTCAGTGTAAATGGATCCATTTCAGAAATTGATTATTAAGCTACTGTTAAACTTTTAGCTTTGTAACAATATAATAAACACGTAAAAATACGAATGTCGTCTTTCTATTACAATTGCAAGGATTTCATTGTACATACAGAGAAAACCATAAAACTTATAGACACAAGTTATGACTTTAAATGCAATTGTGCAATGTAAATGGATTTATTTCACTTAATAAATAGATTATTATCCTATTAGTAAAACTTTTTGCTTTGTAACAATATCAAATAAACTTAAATTGCTTTCATGTCGTCTTTTTATTTCCAGTTTTAAGGGTTTCACTGCAAATAATTAAATAAAAACTTACCCCGAGTAAAACATCGTTTTTATAATCAATTGCGGCATCCACCGCTTCAATACTCTCGTCCAGCTCAACCATCCGGGATTCTTCCATGGGAGATAAAAACTTGAGTTCCTGTAGTTTATCATCGAGTTCTTGACGTTCCCTAAACATTGATGATAACAGTTCCCGGATTTGGACAGCTAGCTCCAATTTGATTGATTTTGATTTTCTAATTTGACCGATAAGAGATTGATTAATTTTAAAGAAAAGGAACCTAGTTTTTGACAGAAACTTTAATTCTAAAACCCTTTTATCTTTGCAACCCAATGATATTTCAAACCATGAATTCTGTTGGATCAAATAGTCTATGCATGAAAGGTTTACACCATTAAATTGCAATTTGGATTTAGAGTTTGAGTTTGTGGCAAAAAAATAATACAAATTTTAATATGCTTGATCCATATCTGCATTCTGCATGTGGGTTCTTACTCTGTTGGGATAAAACGCAGATAATCCTGTTTTAAAAATACAATAAATCCCATTAAAGAATTTGCATACCTAACAAATAGATCTCTGATGTTCCTGAGATCTTGGACCTGAGCTGGGATATCAGGTTGCATGAGATCCTGACCCAGGACTGGAGGTTTCATCACAACCATATCAGTCCCACCTGGGTTCTCTACTCCATCCTCCGTCTTGATCTGCATGAAGCTGGTTTCCTGCTCCTGGGACTGAATGAGCTTCTGCTTGCTGATGAGCTGCTGGTGAAGGGTTTGGTTCCTCTCCTCCACCTTCTTCAACCGCTCCTCCTCCTAATACAATATTTTCATATGTTTGACTATCAATACTGTTTAAAAAACCTTTGCTCTCAAACCCTAAAACTGAACTGTTGAAAAAAGGGAGATTATTAAAAGTATCATTTTCTATGAATGATTCCATCAAGTCATGAATATTGAATATAAGCGAAAAAAAAAGAAAACTATTTTGAAATATTTATTTTTTTTTCAAAAAAAATCAGTAAATCTTAAAGAAATGTTTCTGACCTGGATCCGGATCCATTTTTTCTCAGAGCGGATCCGGATCCGAACAAAAAGAAATGGATCCTCAGCACTGTTTGAGTTAGGTTGGTATGAAATAAGATGGGAATATTTGTGCTGAAAACTCAAAATCCTAATTACTTGATCTCATTAACCACTGTGGGAACTTTTAATTAGAGGATTAATGCTATAATCCCCGTATTTCAGTTTTTCCTTCAGGGTACAATTACACTGCGGATATCGAATATATTCCTTGAGGGTACAATTACACTGCGGATATCGAATATATTCCTTGAGGGTACAATTACACTGCGGATATCGAATATATTCCTTGAGGGTACAATTACACTGCGGATATCGAATATATTCCTTGAGGGTACAATTACACTGCGGATATCGAATATATTCCTTGAGGGTACAATTACACTGCGGATATCGAATATATTCCTTGAGGGTACAATTACACTGCGGATATCGAATATATTCCTTGAGGGTACAATTACACTGCGGATATCGAATATATTCCTTGNTATTTACAAAAAATAACATACCTTCAATAGCCAGTCCCGTTTCTCATTTATACTCTGGCTTTCATCTAGAGAAGCCTGAAGAACCTTTAGACAAGGAATATTTAAAAAACAAGCTAAGATATTAGATATTTTAACTATTTAAGTCACTTATCATCAATTTTTTTGGGTTGTATTATTGGAAAGAGCAGGGGTTCAAAATTTTAAAATTTATGAAATTTGAGGTAAAAGAAAATTAGACATTAAAGGGCAAATTTGTTCATCCTTACAAATACTTTTCCCTCAAAATAATCGTTCGTTTCCCTCTAAAAAATATACACCCCTTGCTCAGAGCGAGTAAATATGAGAATTATGTTTTTAAATACAAAATATATTATTGAGGTTTCTATTCTAATTTAAATGTTTTAAATATTATTCCGTTCCTTCTCCGTGTACTCCAGCCGTTGGTTAAGCTGCTCTATAACAGCTTTATCCTGCTCCAGTGCAGCTGCTAGCTCATACTTCCGCTGCTGCTGCTCATTGTAACGTAGTTTAAGGAGCTCATGCTGATCTGTTAACTGTTTGATACTATCCTGATCAAGAAATAACATTAAATCCGATTAGTTAAATAAACCTCTTCGATCATTGATTTATGTTTATGTTTATGTTAGCTCTAGCTGGACCAAATGTGCTAAATTTGTTTTAGTAAACCCGTGGGTTTAGAAGTACCTTGGCAAAAAAGTATAAGTTTTTAAACCATAACTAAAAATAGGATGTTTGATCTATACAAGGTTGAGATATTTTGTGCTACGAAGACGAAACTAAGTTTACTGCTAGTTTGGTCTCCAAGCCTCGGTATTAAAATGACCTGGCGCTATCCATAAACGTTAGAATAGATATTTTTCTCGAATATCCAAAAAGCATTGCATAAATATTAAATATAAAATATTTTTTTCTACAAATTTTCTACATTATCTATTCTGAACGATAGGGGTAGCACAAAGTTATTTTAAATACGGAGGCTTGGAGACGATTTCGCAGGGCTCATGTGGCGTTCCTGTACTCCCTCCCTAAGGGGGGGGGGATATTGATAGTTATGTTTTCAATGTATTCCTTGAGTTCACGTATTTGTCCCGCCTCGGGTTTAGTATATTCCAGCAATTGTTCTGTATTCTTCACCCTTTCTTTCAGTTCATCCACCTAGTATATATAAAAATATTAATTAAAAAGATTGTAAACGTAATTTCAAGTGATCCTTCACACAAGGATGACAATGCCAGACTCTCACCATTATTAGAGCCAAGCACTTTAAAACCTAGAAAAACGGCAACATATTCCACATTATTGATCAGATAAAGGTAATAAGGGACCATTGTGAGTCGGGCATTTTCAGCTTGAAATTACGCTTACAGTCCATTTAGTTAAGTTCTTTTTACAACATCAACATCTTTATTTCTAGTTTCTACAAACTGCATTCTTTTAAGAATTCAAGTCAGATATGATCCCCCTAGATCTCATACTAAACCAAGGGAAGTGGCGGAACTTAACCCTATTTTCGTTGTATTATAAGCTACAAGTCATGGTTCTTAAGTCTGTAGGTTGGTAGTAAATAATAATTATTATACCACATTTATCGGATTTACTACGTAGCCAAATCCGGAATATTTCTTGTTAATGTCACCCATTTTATGTAATAATTATGATATTCTACGAACCAAGTGACAATATCAAGAATTATTCACCGCAAACTTGATAGATAGATAGATCCACGAACTAAGTGACAATATCAAGAATTATTCACCGGGAACTTCATAGATAGATAGATCAATTTAAAATAAGAATTAACATATTAATTCTGGGAATGCGTTTAAATCCTCCAAGAATGTGGTATAATATTATTATGCGTAGGAAGAAAGTGTAATAATCAAAATTATTGTTATAATATTGAAAGAAAAACCGTGGAATAATTTTGATTATTCACCTCAGGCTGCGCCTTTCGGTGAATAATCAAAATTATTCCACGGTTTTTCTTTCAATATTATAACAATAATTTTGATTATTACACTTTCTTCCTACGCATAATATATTATTAATAGTAATAATATTTCTGATCGTCTTTTATTTGAGGAAAATTTTTTCAATTAAAGATTAAAAATGACATTTACTTCCATATTATGAAAACAAACCTGTTTCTTGTATTTATCAACATTCTTCTTGTAATCTAGATGTAATGAGGTTGAATCTGAATCTGCAGTTGATGTTTTCTCCACCCTGCGTAGTATACTCTGAGCTGAGAACAGATCGCGTTGAGTTCTCCGCAGTTCTCTCTCAAACTCTCCAAGCTTCCGTTCAAGTCTCCGTCGTACTTCCTCCGACTCCTTACCAGCCTTAGTTAGGTCATTGATGAGTCCCTCCTTGGCCCTGATCACCCCCTTGAGGTCTCCCAGCTGGGCGGTCATTAGGTCCAGATTGTCTGAGACAAGTTGAACCTCTCCTACCTGACTTCGGGTACTGCTTGACAACTTCGCAAGTCTAGGAAAATTTAAATCAAAAAATGAATGTTTCTCTAATTTTAGATTTCATAAAAACTGAGACCTTGGCAAAAATCATGAAAATATCAAATTTGTTATGTCCTGTCATTCATTCATGACCTAACCCAGTCTTAAAAATATACAAAAATTAACAGTGTTAATCCTGAGCAATCAATTAATCAAGTGTACCCAATTAACTGACTGGTTTTAATTTGTTGGTAAAAGTCACAAGATTAAATCAAGAGAGTCTTGATCTTGCTAAACTTGTTGCTTGACTAGAGATTAGGAAGAATTTTTTCTCACATAGAGTTATTGACCTATGGAATTCTTTAACCGATGATATGAAACATGCATAAAATCCACTACAATTTAAACTACTGTATGATAAGGATCATTGAGAATGGAGTGGCAGCTGATATGAGAAAAACTGAAGCTACATCTGATCTAAAGCAGACCACACATGGAGAAATCAAGATATTCTCAACATTCCTAGATGGAAAATGGAGAATCACCTCTCAAGTATCAAGTAAGTAACTTACTATAATTTAAAATCCAAACAAAATTTCTTAATTTGATTACCTTGCATTAAGCTCTTTTCTTTTATCACAATCTAGTTTATCACATTCAAGATCATTCTCCGACTTAAGGTCTTCTTCCTTTTTTTCCGTATCATCCCTAAGGTCTATCAAGTCTCCTACATCCTGGTCGACTTCAGCTAGATCATTACATGCTGATACATTGCGTGTTTCAGGTTCTGTTTTAGTAACAATTGAACTATCTACAGAAAGAGAGCCCAGCTCCTTAGCATGGAAACTAGTTTGAGCTTGGACACAGGTTTCTATCTCCTGATCTTCACCACTGGGATCGCTTGTGTATCTGGTTACTTGAATACTTGCAATTATGTTTCGGACCTCAAGATCTTCAAGCAGATTTTTCCGATAGGTTTCAACTAAAGCTGAGTTCTGAGATTGGAATTCATCCTGAAAAATCAGTACAATTTTAAATCAATATTACAAGTTTGATAAACCATAGAGTTTTATGGAGACCTTAAGCCTATTTTATATCGCGGTAAATCACCAAATTCGAATGTGTCAAAAAAATTCAAATTTGAAAAATAAAAACGCCAAAGCCCAAAAGTATACTGTTGTGTCTATCTGAGATAGACACTTTAAGTAAATTGTTAAAGGTATTCGCATTACCTTTCTTTTATTTGAACAAATTATAAGTCACAAAGCTTTAGATTTGGCCAATGAGAGACCAGAAAAATTACATCTTCTAATATGTTTTAAACTCAATTTTAGATAAGGTTAATAAACTAGTTCTGAGACTGAATTTAAAAAATTTGAGCCGCGTCTCAAATTTGAACTCAATTGGAACAGGTTTTTGGCGTTTCAGCAATATGGTTTAAATTCTTTAAATTCGGCCTCTGGGAAGTTACTGTCCAACAATTGAAAAAAGATTCTGAACCTGAATATTGAGTAGTTTAGTCTCCAGCTGAGAGCAGGTAGAAGCTTCAGATCCAAACTCATTCGAACTCTGAGAACTTTTTTCGCTCTCTACACTCACCACGCAGTCATCACTTGTCACACTCAATCCACTCATTAAACTCTCTTGACTCAGTAAACTCTGGACTGAATCCATGGAGTTAAAACAGTCTGAATCCTCTGTAGAGGATCCTGAGAGGGAGGAGAGGTTTGATAGGTTGGATCCGTCCTCAGACTCCTCTGGAATCTTCTCAAGTTTATCTCCCTCACCGCTCTTCTTAATCGCCTGCTCAGACTCTTCTTTTCTGCAAATCCAGGTCTGTATGTCAGATCTGATAACATAAATTAATTTCAGAATCAGATTACAGCTCAAATACTTACTAAAACCCACAGGCCCCTTACATGAAGGTTAGACGTTACTTTAAAGGTAATTCTTTGTTAATTTTAAGATTCCAAGTAGGGGTGTATATTTTCTCAAAAAATCATATTTCTTCCACACCCTTTCAGAAAATAATTTTTTTTTTTCCCGGCAAGTATAAATGCTTTAATAGGGTTTAATTCACAGAATTGGGGGGTAAAAAATTCATTTTTAAGCAAAAAGTATCAAAATGAATGAAAAAGTTGCCTTTTGATGTCCAGTTATTCATTCCCCCCCCCCCCCACAAATTATCAAAAATAAGTATAGACCACTGACTCCAACACAACCTTATATGAAGGAAGAGAAAATTTAATGAATATTGCTTGACATAATTGACAACTAAACTGATTTTAAATTTCTATGGCGAATTCCTGAAGCAATAAGACATGTGGTGTATTTTTTGAAGATCTCTGGGGGAAATAACGTGAAAAATCAAGTTTTTACATTGTTTATCTTTCACCCTCCTACCTCTAAAAATCATCTATTTTCCCCCGTTGAGTGAATAAAACCCTAAAATGTTTGAGCTCAGTGCTAAAGTACATGACAGGGGGGGATACTTTTCAGGAAAATATACACACCCTGGATTAGATATAGCTTTTACTCAAATGACTGAAGAGTTACCTAGCAGTTGATTGGAGGGTTTGATGAGAAGAAATATTACTGAGTATATTTTCCGCCCCAGAGACCAGGGTTTTGTACTGACTAGCGGCAAAATGAAGATGAAACATAGATTCATCCTTCAATGATCTCTCATCTACACAATCCAAACCATTTACACAAATTATTGATATTTTTCTACTAATTTCCTATCAATGAAATCAGGGTTAAAAATCTTGCAGAACTACTGAACAATAATCTTATGTTTATCATCAGTTCAGTTTATCGTTGTGGTTTGCTTTTGAAGCAAAATAAATGTAGAAATTGATTTCTAGTTCTTTACCCAAGAAGAATCCATCTTATGAGGAAAAATAATGCATTAATGGAAATTCTTAAACAAGATGAAATAATCTTGCTGTATTCTTTAACGAAGGCTGCAGAGTGCATGAAGATTATTTCATTGAGTTTAAGAACTCAATCATAACATTTTTATCCTCATAAGATTAATATTATATCATATTTGAGAGGTTCCATGAGCACATACAGAAGAATATATATTTATAAAAACTCCTGGAGAAATACAACTATTTGAACTGGTGAAAAGTTGACATTAAGCTCTTGTTCTTGCTATCTCTGTATTTTTTATTTTCTTGTTTTACAATGTTATGATGTTAGAAACCCTTTAATAAGTAAAAGTTGATTCTTCATTTTCATTAGAAAATGTGGTGTGGTGTGATTGTCTCCTTAGTTAAGTTTGTTTACCAATTTTTAGTGCATTTGATTTTTTTTCAAGTGGATGCTATATTTATATAAAGCATGTTGAATGTACCCCGAGTTTTTAAATGGGGAGGAGGTAGAGAATAGTAGTGGGTTTTCTTTATCTACTAATCAACATAGTGAAGTCATTTATAGAAGAAATCAATTGCTGGATATTAGATTGTCAGGACTAGGGTTAAGATTAAAATGGAAATCTTGAGTTAAGGTGTTTTAATACTTCTAAAAATGAAAAAGGTAAGTGAGCATGAAAAAGTAAAATCCGAAAGGTTGCAAATAAGATTTATGCTCTGACTATCACTGTTTTTTTATTTTTGAAATGTTTTAAAATGTTTTTTGAAAACCATTTGATAAGTAAAAATTGGTTCTTAATTTTAAAGTAATGCATGTGGTGTGATTGTTTCCTTAGTTTAGTTTGTTTGTTAACCAATTTCTAATGAATTTGCTCGTTTTTCAAGTTGATTCTACATTTAGATACAGCATGTTGAATGTGCCCTGAGTTTTTTTTAGATGGGGAGAAGGTATTGTAGTGGCTTCTCTTAATCTACTGAACAAAATCGTCAAATCATTTACAGAAGAAATCATTTCCTGGATGTTAAATCCTAAATCTTCCAAAAAGATGAGAAAGCAGGTTTTCCACCAAGAATCAGTTCGACATGAACTTATGAAGATCCTTGTCTTTTATTCATGAAGCAAGATTTACTGGTTTGTTTTCATTCCTATGGATTGCTAAGACCCCACTAAAAGTTTGTGACACTAGTATTTCAATGATAAGTTTTTATAAACTAACATTTTTGGTTTTGATTGCGGTTTCACTTCATCATCTCGAGCTATGCGAGATATGGTGACTGCTGATTCAGGCTGAGGTACTTTAAAACTTTATAAAGTAAAAAAACAATTAATTGAAATTGTGAAGACATGACCAACCTTTCCATTTTTGAAAAGCTCTGACCGTACTATTATAAATATGCAGAGATTGGCAAAATCTCACCAAACTTGATTTGCAATAAAGAAAAACTAAAAACAAATTGAAAAAAGTAGGCAGTCGGGCAGTATGCTTTGAGACTCGGTAGTTTGATGAAAATGGCCAATGGAAGGCTTAAAGTTTTAAGTACATGGTTAATTTTTTTTTGGAAAGGTAAGAAAATATTAATTAAACATTAGGGGTTCCACTCTTCTGTCAGGACTAAGGTTAAGATTTAAATAGAAATTCCTGAATTAAGATATATCAATACTTCAATAAACGAAAAAGGTAAGTGAGCATGAAAAGATAAGTAAGCATGTTTTAATAAACTAAAAAAGGTAAGTTTGCATGCATTAATATAAAATAAAAGGTGAGTGTGCATGTTGTCAGTACAAAATAATTAAGTTAATATCAATATTGATCTATGCTGAAAAGATCAATATAAGGAGCGTGTAAGAATGAATATTCCTCAACTAGTGTAATAATTTCCATTCTTTAATGCTCAGAGCGTGAAAGAATATACATTCTTTCACGCTCTGACCATGTAATAATTTCCATTCTTACACAGTCTAAGCGTTAAAGAATGAAAATTCTACACCTAAAGTGTAAGAATAAGCATTCTGAAACGCAAGGAAGCGAACAATAATAAAATTGTTCCTCCTTAACCATGTAATAATGGGAATTCTTTCACAATAGGTATACTGCTATGGAACCGAACAGATATGATAGCTATCTATCTATGTATGAACTTTCTGGTAATATTCCTTTACAATAAGAAAATGGTTTACATTCCTATAATATTGTTAGATGCAGGCTTTGGTTTAGTCAGGTTGTCTGTATCCTTACTGGGAAGTATCATGTGACCCTAATTAATAAAAATATGATAAGTTTCGGAGCCCTCTCAGTAACAAACAAATTTGACCCTCTTCTAGGACTTACAAAATGGAATTTAGGATTTATTGAATAGATCAATCAACTGATCAGATATTCTACCTGGTTCCCCATCAGCTGAGTATGAGATGCAAAGCTAGGAAGAGACATTGATTCACACAAGGATGAATTAGATCTAAAAAACAACTATTAGAAACTGAAATTTTGATATGTTGTGAAGTTTTACCAATCTATTGGAAAAATGGTCTACTTTGATATGAACTGAGAAGGCAGGTACATGTTGACCCCAAGAGGAGACTGCATTGGAAGTGGAGAAACAGTGGTGGGAGTTGTTCTGGTGCTAATCAACTGCCCATCTGAAAATAATAATAATACAGGTGGGAAATATATACACAGCTTTAATAATCATATTTAAATAATTTCATTTTTTCTTCCAAGTTTCAGTCTTTCTAAAGAACCAAAGTTAGTTGATCTCATTTGCAGTTGTGGGAAGATAAACTCATCTCTCATCGGTTAAATCCTAAGCTCTAACTATGTATAGAGCAATTGCCAGCTTAAGCTGTAATAAAAACATCATAAATAAAATTTGTATATAAAAAGTAACTAACCGTGAGGAGAATTGTGATGGCTGGACATCTGTGGAGTATAGAACATATTGCTAGTTGGGTGCATCCTGTGGCCTAAATCCTCTAGTGGAGTTGAGGTCCAGTATTGAGGATGGTGACCAGGAGTAGAAGGGTGATTGATAAGCTGGTGGTTAGGTGGATGACTATTTGAATGAGTATTATCAATCGGAGAGTTAAATTTAGGAACTGGATGACTGGTTGAGTAAGGATGTGAGTTAGGCACAGGTAGCCTTGGATAATGGAGCTGGTGAGTAATGGGACTGTGTTGAACCTGAGGAATGTAAGTTGATTGATTTGAAGGATCGAATGGAGAATTTTGATGGTTTTGATTTTGAAGGTGAAATGTTGTTGGACTAGGAAAAAGATTAACAGTGTTGTTCCCCTTGAAAAGATTTCCTTGCTGAGCTCTGTATTCTTTCATATTTATAAACTGATTACCATTTCTCGCTACAGAAGGGTTCTCTGTTGGAAACTCCATCTTGGGTGCCATCATGTTGTTTTGTAAAATCATGTTGTTTGGTGAAATCAAGTTGTTGGCTGACATCAAGTTGTTGGGTGACATCAAGTTGTTGGGTGACATCAAGTTGTTAGGTGACATCAAGTTGTTTGGTGACATTAGGTTGTTTTGTGTTACATACTTGTTTGGCGCTATTATTCTATTTTGCGACAATAAACTGTTTGGGGACATCAAATTGTTGTGCAACAACACATTATTCTGATGAATGGTATTCATGTTAGGTGCTGTGTTATTAATTAGAAGGCCTAGTTGTTTTTGTACTGCTAAATCCCTAGGTAACAATCTATTGCTGTTATATCCGAATGCAGGATGTATTGGAACCTCATCCATGTCTAAACACAAGAAAAAACTTGTAGTCTTTCAGTCAGATATTTATTGGTGCAGTAAAATTCCAAACTCAAGGTTTTAGATATTGCAGACATTTTTATCATTTGTTTTAATCTAAGTAATGGCCTAATTTAAAGTCTTAAAAATTCCATTTCCTCTCTTTCTTTTATTATTCAGTGCTCAGGATCCATTTGATTTTGATGCCGATCCGGATCCGGATTCTGGATCCTCACTGGTAAAAAATGGATCCAGATCCAGGTCATTTCTTTAAGATTTACTGAATTTTTATAACAAAAAATAATTTTCAAATTCTTTGTTTTATTTTTTTCGCTTATTTTTATCGTAAAACTTGATGACCATTCAGAAATGAGAAAATTTTTATAATCTCTCTTTTTTCAAAAGTTCAGATTTGAGCTTAGGATTAGTTGTTGGTTATTATTTTATCCCTTAGATCCGGATCCATGGATCCGCATATTTTTGTGGATCCGGATCCGGATCCAGGAAGCCAAAATCTTGCGGATCCAACAGATCCGGATCCTAAGCACTGCAGTTTTATATAAACTTTCTTCTCAAGGATTTAGTCTTTGACAAGATTAGGTTGGTTGTTTCCCTTCGATTGATTGATCAATTAATCAAAGTTTGTGAACACCCTACTGTCCACACTCCACATATCAAACTCAAGATGACTTTACTAAATCAAGAAAGAGATATGGACTCATGTTGGTGACAAAAGAAAAAATAACTTGGCTTTAAATTTGAATGACTACAGTATGTATAAGCATACAACCAGAGGAGTACCAGCTAAGTAATGCAGTTTTTTGTCAAACTACAGATAATTTTATTATTCTCACTAACTTCTGGAATTCTGATAAGTTTTTAACAACTGTATTGCCTAAAATATATTCACCTGTTTCAATGAGATGATTAGGAAAGTTTGGTTGACCATTTTCTTTCCCAGGAACCAAATCAACCCTTTGAAATTGAGATGCAAGTTATTTCTAACTAGCTGTTAAGTGAATAATACAATAACAAATTTGCTTATTTATGAAAATTAACAATCAATTCAAAATTAAATAGTAGGTCAAAGCATTTAAATGTAATTTTTATTGCCACTCCCCAAACAAAATAAATGCAGGGCTACCAAGTTACCCCTCTTTAGAAAACATTAAACAATGAAAACAATCAAGTTGTTTAATTTTCATAAAACTTTAATTTTGTTATTTTTTTTTTTTGGGGGGGGGAGGTCTTGATGAGAATTGAAGAGAAAATGGTTGGTCAAGAGAGAAGCCAATTAACATAGATTGTTAGAATTATATAGTGAAAATATCTGTACTCTACCCACCTGTAAATATTTGGGGATGGATTTGTTCTGATATTTGCTGCTCTGGATGCAAACAAAAGAGAGCTGAGACTTTCCTCATAGTCCTTTAAGAATTTTAGAAATAAATCAATCAATCAAACTAGTCCTTTCAATTGAGCAATCAATCATTTCAATTGACTTTTTGTTTGATGTATGCCAATCCTTCAAATAATAAGAGAAATATGAAAGACTTTTTTTTAATTGAACAACCGACCGGCTGACCAATTGATTTTTAATTATTTTACAAGCAATCAACTGATCAACCAACCAACCAACAAGCACACAAAAAGACATCACCTGACCAACACCAACAAACCAGAAATCAGACTGAACAATTAATTTGACTGAAAAAACCTTTGATAATGGAGAGATGGTTGTTAAAAGGTAGGTAACTGAGTTTCCACTAAGGGCTGGTGCTAACAGTCGAGTCAGTAAACTATCCTAATATAGAAGTTCAGGGTTAGAATAGTAGACAAGTTCATCAGCTTCTCTAATAAAAAATGTCAATGTTAGAATAGTAGACAAGTCTATCATCTTTTCTAATATAGAAGTCAGGGCTAGAATACTAAACAAGCCTATCAAGTTTTCTATTAATAGAAGTCAGGGTTAGAATAGTAAACGAGCCTGTAAGCTATTATAATATAGAAGTCAGGGTTAGAATAGTAAACAAGCCTGTAAGCTATTATAATATAGAAGTCAGGGTTAGAATAGTAATTAAGCCTGTAAGCTATTATAATATAGAAGTCAGGGTTAGAATAGTAAACGAGCCTGTAAGCTATTATAATATAGAAGTCAGGGCTAGAATAGTAAGCAAGCCTATCAACTTTTCTAGCATAGAAGTTAGGGTTAGAATAGTAGACAAGTCTATCAGCTTTTCTAAGAAGTCAATGTTAGAATAGTAGACAAGTCTATAAGTCAGGGTCACACAATTCACACCTTAGCCATAAATGAAAATCAATTTAGAGTTGGAAGTTATTTAGCGGTTTTATTCTTATTAAATAATATAACTGTCAGCTTGTATTAACCTGGAAAGGAACGTAGGAAACATTACGTCTCGGATCACCAAGTGCTGACACAACATTTCCTAATCATATTTCACAGGTGAGAACGGTCAAATTTTCGTCCAATTGGTTAATTCAATTCAATCATAAATTTTAAATTTGAAAGCCTAGATTATAGTTTAGTTGTTATTGTTATCCATTTAATTGTTATGAGGATTCGGAGCCAGATCCAGGTTATTCTTTCAAATTTACTAAATTGTCTTACAAAGCAAAATTTTCTAATTTTGTCTTATTTCTTTTGCTTATTTCTATCCTAAAACTTGAACCATTCATAAATCAGGAAATTTTAATAAACGTTCTCATTTTTTATTAGTTTAGATTTAGGTTGAAACAAAAATTATTTTTTTGCAGTTTTGGTATATATTTTGCCTCTAGGATCGGGATCTGTGGATCTGAATATTTTTGCGGATCCGGATCCAAGCCAAAATCGTGCGGATCCAACAGATTTGGATCCTAAGCACATGTTTAAAATAAATAAATATCTTTTTGACCATTAAGCCCAGGACAGAATCACCTAGAATCAAATCAAGGTGAATATTGTACACTAACTTCACCAAAAATTCCACTTTCAGACATTTGGACACATCAAGTTTGCAACAACCAGTTTTTAAATCAAAAATCTGCCATAAATAGTATCTGAAGTTCCTAAAATCTACCACATATAATATCTTTAGTTCCTAAAATCTGCAACAAATACTATCTATAGTGCATAGAATCTGCCATAAAAAGTATCTCTTTTGATAAATTTGCCTCAGTAAAGTCTTACATTTGCCACAAAATTCCTAGATGACCTCTGACCCTATAAAACCAGACACAACATAAAAATTTTTAAGAACACTTTTTTACAATCCCACAAAAATTGGAAAAATATGACAAGTTTTTTGCTTAAGATAAGCTTTTTCTTCTCGACTTGTTGTGTTTGTTGTAGCCAATCATCGAATACTTTGATACTCTTCTTCTTTTAATCTTAGGAAAAGCACAACTGCTTTCATTAGTCATCTTATTTGACACCTCAAAAATTTCCCGAAACCTGAACCATAATGCAAACCGCATGCAAATTTTAATAGTTACTTTAAGAGAACATTTGAATCTTAAATATGTTAAAAAATATCATTAAAGCAAAAACTAAAAAATACAAAAAATACTCAACATTATATTTTACTTCACATTGTCCTGATCTAAACAGTAAACATGGAACTATTATACAGTACAAATAGTTTAACCGTTTAGAATAATGCAACAAAATATTTTATCTTTTAAAAAAATGAGATGACTTAAAAATGGAATTCGTATATATTTTTCCTAAACTAATCAACTGAAAATCAATCTTCAGAAGTAAATTACACTTTTTCTGACATAGGATAATAATTACACACCCCTCTTTCTGGCTGGGATCCTCTTGAAAAATGTCTCGAAACCCCACTTTTATCATTTATAAATTGAATTCTTATCTATCTTCTGAACCTGATATAATAAAAGGTAAGACGAAATATAGATACAGAAGGAGGTATGAAGATTGAAATCAGAACGTTGAATAAAATGTAAGAGGAACTATCTGATCAGCTATAAAAACAAGAATTTGTTGTTCATCATATTTTTAAGTGAAAATAAAAATGTCGAGAAAAAATTTTGAAGGTGAATTTTTTTAAAAGAACATTTAAAATCATATCGATAAAAAAATTTCTAGGTGAAATTTAAGAACTTTTTCCCTCGAAAAATTAAAAACTTTAAGAATGAATTGCTGTTTTTAAGTCAAATTTTAAATTCAAGAACGGGGGCAACTATGACGCAATGAAGACGACTTTTCTTTTAAAGTTTTGATTACTAACAAGCTTTACTCAAGTTAGTTTACAAGCAAACAAAGGAAAGCTGTTAAAAAACAGCTTCTTTTTGTTTCCATAGTTCTGTAGTTCCATGCTGTTAGAAAGCTAGGTAGAAATGTAAATTGAAATCGTCTTTTTATTTTATTTAAATGACGACTGTATCTGCTTGTACAATGCCTAATAAACTAGCACTGGCTTAGCACTTACCTAGAGTTAGAAGACCTAAGTTTATGCCTCCGTTGGTTTGATTAAGCTGATCACTTGAAGCTAATTCTATAAACTCAATACAGGATTCTTTACACACAGGATACCCTAAATCAAATCAAATCAAATCAAATCAAATCAAATCAAATCAAATCAAATCAAATCAAATCAAATCAAATCAAATCAAATCAAATCAAATCTTGGTTTAGACAACACTCTATGACCGAAACAAATGAATTTTGATGACTTGAGGGGGGGGGGATGAAAATATTTGGACATCAAAGGCAATTTTTCTCATTCTTTCTGATACTGACCAATAATTTCCTCCTAAAAATCATTTATTTTCCCAAATCATTTATTTTTTTTAATTTAGCGAATAAAAAAGAGAAAAAATACATAATACATTATACAACCCTGCAAAAGCAACCATGACACACCTTGTGATATGTAAGACTGTTTGAGCGTGATGTTGAATATACTGTGAACAGGAGGATGAAGGGAGAGGGGTAGAGGGGAGGAGATCTGGAGATTTGGTAGAAACTCGGGTAGATTACTCTCATTAAAGGATTGACCTGATATTAATAATATGTTTATGTTTTTATGTTTGGATTATGTTCAGGGTTCGTGGTGGAGAATATAAAAGAATTTCTGGTTATTGTACAATGATATTCATAAGGATACAAACACATTACACATATCTCAATATTATACAGATAATATTAAAGTCAATATTTACAAATATCTAACACATCAAATGTACACAAATAAAGGACTTTTTTTCTTTAGAAGATTCACTGTTATTTTTTCTTTGTTTTTACGATAATTTTGTTTTTGGTCTTACTGTTTTTTTTTGGCTCTTTTTGCTATTTTATAAAAAGAAAAACACATGAAAATGCTTCTTTAAACAGAAACTAGAACAGATTAGAAGTTTTTACATATAATTCTCATTTTTTTACAAGTTTATCTTTCATAGATTAATGATCACCTCAAAATCTAAGTTTTTATATTCAGACTTCTGCCAATTTGATCTGCTTTGAAACAAATTGTAAATAATATTGTCTGTTCTTCGCATTTGTTTCAACTTTTTTACATTTATTCAAAAAAGAACTCGTTGTCTAAATCTTCAAAATATAAAAGTTTACAAAGCGGCGAAACATTAAAATGTTACCTATGTCTAAACATGTGAGAACTTCTGCAATACTCGAACACTCAACCTGAACAAAATTTTACATAAAACTTCATTTCCAAAAGTTCTAATCTAAAAGGTTAAAAAACAATTCATAAATTAAATATGCATTTTCCGAGTCTAAAAGATGATTTAGGAGGATGGGTTAAATAATAATATTTTTACAGGAGGGGTAAAAATATCAATAGTATTGTTTTACTCTTTGTTTACCTTTGTGAGTCCCTGAAGCCTGGTTGTACCGGACTGATCTTCTACAAACTGTACTGTACATGAACCCTCAGCTAGTAAATCTTTCACCTATACAAAACAAGTCAGGGGTGTAGAATTTCCAGAATTTAAGATTTGAGGATAATCAATGAAAAATTGGACATCTAAAGGAAAGTGCATCCTGTTTGATAAATACACAAAAATGCATGTATTTTCCCCTAAATACCTTTTAGTTTCCCCAGTTCAGCAAATATAACCTTAATAAAACTCCGCTCCATAATTGAAGAAAAAATAAGAGAGATGGATAGAAATCCGCCGGGAATATTTTCATATCCGAAGAAGCAATAACTATGAAATCTGCGCCATAGTTTATAATATATATGAAGATTTTAAGGGTCTGTAAACATAAGGGCCCTCCGTGCAATGATGACAATGCCTAAGTCCCAACGGTACCCTTAAACCTGTGTCTGGTCAATTAGGAATTATAAATCAATTTTAAAAATTATAAAAAACTAAAAGATGTTCATTGTAGTTTCTCTGCAAAAATCACTTGTGCATTTCTACAGCAGGATTCGAGGGTACCGTTGTGAATCGTGCATTTCTACAGCAAGATTCGAGGGTACCGTTGTGAATCGTGCATTTCTACAGCAAGATTCAAGGGTACCGTTGTGACTTGTGCATTTCTAAAGCAGGACTAGAGGGTACCGTTGTGAATCGTGCATTGTCACCTTTGCATGGAGGGTCACTTGAAATAACGTACTTACAGTCTATAAATAACTAACCTCCTGGTTGTAAACATGTATATAGGAAGCTAGGACAGTAAACTTTATTTGAGATTGGGATTGGAAAGACTGGAACAAAGATCTAACAAACCTGAACAAAAAGTAAATATCAAATAATAAAATTTAATAAACATTTAAAAATAAACGAAATTTTTTATAAGTTATGAACTTAATTTAGAAATTAACTAATACAATATATAGTAAGCAGTCAAAAGCAAACATATTAAAGGTTTTTTTTTGGAAAATTCTGAAGGTGAAATAAAAATAATAAACGAGAAGAGTAAAGCCAAAAATATTTGTTTCTATAATCCGATGTTAACTAACATCGGATTTTTTGTACAAGTCGATGTTATCTTAAAATTTTCTTCCCTGTCTTTCCTTTCAATAATTCCAGAACATTCTCTTTAATTATAAACATGAAATATACCTTGGAATACACCCAAACTGTTCCTCATGAAGTGCTGGGGTGAGATCTGGGCCAACAAGGGAATATGTTTTCCCAGTTCCCCCACCCCCGTAACACACAACTAAAATAATATTAACTATAATACAGGGTGAGTAAAAAAAGTGTGATTTGCGGCGCCTGGTGCAAAATTGTACATTTTTTTGTGCAACTCTTCTATATGGTGTTTTTCAAAATAAATCAGCGAACCTTTTTTTCTCAAAATCAAATGTTTAGAAAAGCAAAAATGTGTATATACATTTTTTCTATCAAATTCTAAAATTTTATAAAGATTAAGTTACAGAAAATTCGCAAAATTGTAATAACAAAATTCGCAATTTTCAGTTCTGTTATATTTTTAACGGAAATATTACTTTGTTCAATGGTTCTTAAGGTTTCAACTGAACAGCGTATATTTATTACTTTAGAATATACAAAGAAGAAAGGAACTAGAGAATTTAAATAACTTTTCCATAAAAATCAGACCAGAACAAAAAATTGCGAATTTTCTGTGATTCTGTAATTCTGTAATATTTTTAAAATTTTAGATTTTGATAGAAATAATTTATAAACAAATTTTTGCTTTTCTGAACTTTTGATTTTGAGAGAAAAAAAGGTTCGCGGATTTTCTTCAAAAATTAAAATCAAAAATTTTCAAAAAATATTGAAAAACACCATACAGGAGAGTCCTTGACAGTCCTTATAAGATCTACTTGAAAATATTCCAGACAAATAATTCTCCCACATTATAAATAAATCATAATATGTTGAAGGGAAAGGCTGAAAGCTGGATTGAAAAATGTCTTCCTGGGAACAATTCCAGGGATAAACATAATCAAATGTAAATAATCGGTCAGGTCCTGGAAAAAATGTTTAAAAAATTAAATTCTAGTTAGTTCCAAATCATTTAAGACTTTTTTTGGTTAAATTGCTCAAACCAGAAAACATTTCCTTTTGGAATAACATGCCGCTCGAAAATAGTTAAATTTGTTTTTAATATTTCTTTTATTAAAGCAAAATTTTCATTATTCTTTTTCTTAAATTGATAAGACCAATAAAAAAAATTGAGTTTAAAATTCAGATTTGTGTTTTAAGAACAGCATTTAATGGTAGATATTGAGAGATATTTGCCGTTTGAAGGATAAAATTTGAACATTGATAATCGCATTCAGTCAGAAGTCTGAACTTGATCACAATATATCAAGGGTATAACCACTAAATGATATCGAAGAAGGATTAAAATAATCCTTAGATCTGCATGAGATGAAGATCAATGCTTGATCCCAAGATTCGGAGATCAATGCTTGATCCCAAGATTCACACCACTAAAGTTTTCACAATTCTGAACCTGAATTTCCTAAAAATTGTTGTTACCTAATTGTAGCTGGTTTGTATTCTGATTAACCTGAATACAAACATCGGTATTTTCTTCTTCCCTCTGCCCATTTGATAATCCACTGAGAATACAATTTAACTAATATGTTTTTCTATTCAATTTTTGCATGTAAAGAAACTCAATTTTTCTATGCATAATATATTACATTTGGGTCTAAAGGTCGTTTTTATGCTCCAAAATGTTGTGAGGGGTCACCCCGTTTAAATATAGTACATGATGCTCAAATACTACTCCTGTTACAGCACCCGGCCCACTAGCCAGTCCTGGCCGCGGCACTGCGCCCTCTAGTCTGTTCTAGCCGCAGCGCTCGATGCCCTAGGCCATCCTAGCCGCAGCGCTCTTAACCCAACCTAACCCTGAAATAATAATGGAGGGAAGGAGGCAGGGATCGAAACATCTTTCTCTAAGGTTAACCCGGTCTAAGAATGATTGAAGGCTGTGGTAGAGCTAATTGGTTCCACTTAAATTTGTATTAAATTTTTCAAGATTTAAGCCGGCGGTCAATTAAGACCTGTTTTTGGGGGATTTAAGACGTGGCTTAAATTCATTTAATTCGGACACTGTATTTGTAGGTTTATCTCACTCAGAGGGACACAAGGCTCTAAACTTCTTCTCTTTCCAATGCACATTTACAAAAAAGGAGTTTTTTAATACCTCTAGTGTACACGTAATTATTCATTTGAATTCTAAAGCCGGGATGTAAAATGTTTAAATTATATCCCTGTGAATTGAAGGAGGAGCTACCCTAATACCGACAACTAACGGGATATCGTCTTCTTCCTTCCCCGCCATCTCATGTCGCATCTGAAATCATGAAAAAGTCTTTACATCGAATAATAATCCAGTAAATCGTCGCCGAATTGGTACTCGATATATACGATCAAAATCTGACATTGCGCTTAAACTGGTTTACTGCCGCGTAATAATATTTCAATGGAGTCGGGTTTGATTTGCTGATTAAATCTCCATTAAATCAAAGACGATCCAATATTTAAAAATCTCTTTCTGTGGTGTATTTTTCGACCTACGTAAATCCGCTATACTACACATCCGACCTACTGGCACGTAGTTTTACAGGTGCTATATATGGACTTAGTGGACGTAGCGCCCGGCCCTAGCCTGTCCTAGCCGCAGCGCTCGGCCCAGAAATTGCCTTTACCTAACTCACCTAACGTAACCCCCAAACAATACTAAAACATGGCGTAGGTCCGATATTGCAGTAAGTCAGAAAGTTATTAGGGGGGATGTTGCGTTTAGACGATGTAAAATTACAAATTTTTTCGTAAACAAGAAAACTTAATGGAAGGATGAAATACAATTATTCTGGCGATCAGTACGATACATGTAAGGATATAAACCATATTTACGATTTTTAAAGTTATAAATTTCTTCTTGAGTTATGACTATTTTCAAAAATGTTTTGTTGAGTGTGGTGGGGTTTTCAATTATACTCTTTATAATTTAATTTTCGGCCCAGAAATTGTCTTAACCTAACCTAACCCTCAAATAAAACGTTAGTGCGAATGTATGTTAGTCCGAGCAATCATTAGTGCAAACGATATGACACCCCAAGATCCACAGTACAGCTTCCGTTTAACTCTTGGTTGTTCCACGTGTCATATAGAATATTTTCAACAAACCCGAATTTTACTTAAGATTAATGTTGTTACTGTTAGTTGATTGTCATAAGCGGTTTACACAAATTATGTTTAACAATAAAACATTTCTTACGCAGGTTATTTAAAAGTTAATTTCTGAGCTAAACTTAGTTTATTTTGTTTTTATCTTTTGGGGGAAATTTTTTTAGATTTCAATTATTTGTCAATGTAAAATTTTTGATCATCTTAATCTAAACAAAACTCCCCAAAAAGGTATCGCTTAAATCAAAGATTATAAAATATCAAGTAAAATGATTTTCCGTTTCCGCATTAAATTTCCGGCAGGAACTCTTCAGGGCGAGTTTAACATTTTTAACCATGACGGGTGAGCAAAAAATTGAACCTTAGAATGGGCTAAATCATGCAGTTTATTTTATTATTTTTGTTACGTTAGAGTATTTATACTATAATTATGATTTTTAAGCTTTTCCATTTAAAATTTGAAAACAAAATTTGATAATAAAAACTGTTAACCTTTTTTATATACAGATTGCAAAATTCAGCTTAAAAAAGATTTTAGAAAATTTAAATTTAAGTTCAAATTTCAACCTGGCGCCAAAAATTCCGGAAAATTTTCCGCCGGAAGCCAAAAAAATATGTGAATATTACAATCTGAAGGTTAAAATTGGTCTTGAATGTTGAAATTCGGTCTAGAATAGTTTTCAATGGAACAGACTAGTTTACAGAAAAAGTTAACATTAAATCTGCAGGAGCCATGAACGTAAGAAACAAGATTGAACTTATTCCGAACAGTCGGCTTTACAGGCTCATACTGGCTCAGTTACATTTGCCATTAATATATTTGACATAATTCCACTTGCCATAAATACCTTTGCCATAAGTTAAATTAGCCATAATTTCTATTGTCATAACTTTCGAACTCTTACAATTATTTTTGCTATAAATGCGCTAATTTTCTCATGAAAACTCCCAACTTTAGTTTTCCAACAATGCTGCCGGGAGAGATATGAACACTATTAATACTGGAAGAAAGAGATCAATATAGAGAATACAGAATCAATGACGATACACAACTTATCCAATAGAGCAATAACTTATGAACTGTAGTTGTTCAATAAAAAAAATGTATATGTGTTAATTATAATTCTAAAATTAATTGTAATTATGGCAATTGTTACTTATGGCAAATGTATAATGGCAAATGTTTTTATGTATTATGGCAAATACTTAGTGGATAGAGTGGGTTTTGGGTAACCCTATTTGCTGTAGGATTTTAAATCTGTTTCGACTCAATTCCGTGTAAGAAGAACTGTCTACGAATCTTTCATAAATGCAGAACTGTTAAAAGTTCAAGAATAATTGTTTCAAATGTTACGCATAACAAATCAGTTACTCTCACTAAATTAAACAAAGTTAATAAAAAATTACACACATATATATTGAATATTTTACAACAAAAATGAAAATTATTTTTACAAAAATGGCAAACATTGACATTTAAATGCAATGTGCTTTCAACATTTGTTGATACTATTTATAAATTGAATTATCAAGCACTATACCTGAAAAAAAATTATTTAATAAGTCAATTTGGTTGAAAACGATTACAGTTATGATTCAACAAACATTTAGTCTTTGGAACACAGAAGCTTGATTTATCTGTAGTTGGGAGGCGGGGGTGTTCTCGCCCGCCTCTCATCAAACCCTCCGCCTCCTCGTGGCGGGTAACTCCGCCCTGATGGTGGATAGTCCCTTGGTGGTGCTCCCATGGGTCGACCGCCCATTCGCTCAGCTGATCTACCACTAGAAAAATAAACTTGAATTTATCTGTATATTGAATTTTAGATTTCACCGAATAAAGAATTCACTTATGATAAAGAAACATGATGATTATAATAATTTTCTGAACTTTGGACTTCTAACTTGAATTCGAAATGTTGGCATTGAAATTTAGGGGCAGATATCACAAAAAGAATTTTCATAATTGGAACTCATCGATTGATTTGCGAACTTGGGGAAGTGCGCTTGTGGTTAATATTAAGAAATATCGTCTTTGAAATTCATTTGAGTTTAAACTTCATCATCTTCAGATCTCCATTTCATTATATTTAAATGTGGATTTTCTGAAATCATGATCATCGAGTTCCCTCAAAACCTGAGAATGGACGAAGCTAGAATAAACTGTGTAGCACTGTTAAAGCTGGAGTGCTACTTAGAAATTTCAGATAGATTTAAAAGCAACTGCAGCACTGCTAAGAATATTATAGCTGGAGAGCTCCTTTAAATTACAGCTAGAATAAACTGCAACTGAAGCACTGTTAAGAATATTACGGCTGGAGAGCTCCTTTAAATCAACAGCTAGAAAAAACTGCAACTGAAGCACTGTTAAGAGTATTAAAGCTGGAGCTTCTTTAAAATTACAGCTTGAATAAACTTCAACTGAACACTGTTGAGAATATTATGGCTGTAGAGCTCCTTTATAATTACAGCTAGAATAAAATGCAACTGAAGCACTGCTAAGAAAATAATGGCTGGAGATCTCCTTTGAAATTACAGCTAAAATAATCAGCAACTGTAGTACTACTAAGAATATTATGGCTGGAGAGCTCCTCAATAATTACAGCTAGAATAAACTGCAACTGTAGTACTGCTAAGAATATTATGGCTGGAAAGTTCCTTTAAAATTGCAGGTAGAGTAAAAAGCAACTGTAGCACTGCTAAGAAATTACAGCTGGAGAGCTCCTTTAAAATTACAGCTGGAATAACTGCAACTGAAGCACTGTTAAGAATATTATGGCAGGAATTAAAAAGAAACTTCAGTTAGAATGAACTGGATCTCTGTTAAGAATATTATAGTTCAAGAGCTGCTTGTAGGAAATTAAGAGCAACTTGATCACTGCTGAGTATATTAAAGCTTAAGTGCTTCTAAGAAATTTAGGCTATAATAAACCACAGCTCTGTTAAGAAAATTGGAGTTGAAGTGCTATTCAGAAATTGCAGTTTGAAGAAAAATGTGTTGGAGCACTTATAAGAAACTTCAGCTTATATGAAAATACTGCCAGAATGTAGAGCAACAACAGCACTATTCAGTGTACTGTAGTTTAAGTGCTTCTAAGAAATTTCTCTGAACTATAGTTAAAGCATTCACAAGGCATTACAGCAGCTGATGCACTTGAGAAAGAGATGACATACAATATTTTTTTGGGGGGGATTGAAAATATTTTTTTATGTCAAAATCCTAACATGGTCATGAGTGGGCGGGGATGATGTGGTGCTCACTTTAACATTTTCCCTGGAAAAAATGATATTTCCAAAATCAATAAGTTGACTGATGAAGTTGAGCCACGCATGGAAATTTATTTCAAATCCATTTTTAATAGACAAATAAAAGGGAATAGTAGTTGCCCATTCTCTGTAATTGATTCCTAAATTTTTCCAGGGGGACTTCCTCCAATTTTCCAAAGAGTTTCCCCTTTAAGCCGCCTCTGCTTGGAAATATTGCAGCTAGAGTGCTTCTAAGAAATTGCACCTAGAATTAACATCAACTGGAGCACTTGGAGCTAGAAGATTTCCTTGATCACGAACTGGAATTCTGTAACTTTGCTCGATAGGAATGCAATGAAGTAATTGTAAGACTACTGAACTCGAATGATAAGAAGTTTACTGAGCAGTTACTCGTTTCCGTCTTAAGACATTTAGAATACCATTGAAATATTAAATTGCGCAATTCCAAACACTGTAATTACTCCAGAGTAACTTACACATAATTCAATTTTTCATAAACAATTGCTTATATAACACAGAATTCCTTAATTGTTTAAGTTTTCATGTGTGCCCATTCACCTATTAAGGCTATATCACTTAAAGAAAAATACTCAAAAAGAAACAAGCATTGAAGTTAAAAATCTCCTTAAGTTCTTATTTCTCAGTTTAGTAAGGCTTTCCGTGTTAATACAGCCTAAAGGAAACTAAAATGCTCTGGATAGGACAGGGTAAAAAGTATTAAGCATAAACCTTGTCGAGTTGTTAGAACATGATTTCTGTTGAGTATTTTGTAGTTTCAGCTAGAATTAAATAGAGTTTATACATTATTGTCACAACATGAATTCTGTAAGTAGTTACAAACAAATTCCTGTAGAGTAGTTACAACATGAATTGAATAGCGTTGAGAAGTTACAAAACGGTTCTTGCGAAGAAGTTCCAGAAAAATTCCTGCCGAGTAGTCTTAGAAAGGTTTCTGTGGAGTATTTACAGAAAGGGTTCTTAAGAGTAGTAATGTTACAGAGACATTCCTGTAAGTTAAGTTCCAAAAATCAATTAAGAATTGTTCTGTTAGAATGAATACTATTACTATAAGTAAAAAGTTACAAGGATTCATTCCTACAGGTGGACAGAATCGACTTGAACAATATATCCCAATCAACACTACTATAATCATCAGCTAATGGCTCACAACTGACTCATCAATATACAAAAACAAATTTGTAGACCCTTTTCTATTAAATTCCTAAAATGATCACCCTAGGTTTAATGAGTCTCACACTTCAATTGGAGTTCACAAATAAAGTTTGAAACTCTCAAAAGGAGTTGAGTCTTTGCCACAAACTCAAACTTACTAATCCCTTTATCTGTCTAATCTGATGGCGAAAACTTTAGATCTTTCAAACTTAGATTATTTGGTCTAACAGAATTCATATTTTGAAATATTTAAACTTTGTCTATTACACTGGATCGCATAGATATAGGGATTAGGAAATCAGAGTTTGTGGCAAAGACTCAATTCCTTTCAAGAATAAACACTAAAATACTTAACATTTAAAAACAAAACAATACAGGCAATAAAAACAAAATTTAAAATTTAAATTAATATGAAAATGAGCCGGTGCTAGTCCATAACAACCGATCAGACCTATTAATCCTGTGTATTTTGCAGTAATAGAGAAGAAGGTCAGATTGGCTGCAATGAATCCACCTGAAGGGAGGTTACAGACAGATCCCTGTGCAAAGAAGTTGTAGAAACTAGGTTCCGTTGATTAGAGTAGCTACAGAAGAGTTTCTTTTGAATATAGTAGCTACAGAATTAGTTCCTGTTGAGTAGAGTAGCTACAGAAGAGTTTCTTTTGAATATAGTAGCTACAGAATTAGTTCTTGTTGAGTAGAGTAGCTACAGAATGGTTCCTCTTTAGTACTTTTTAATTATGACAACCTCTTAACATGAATGTTTCCCAAGTATCTACTCATCCCACCAATCCATCTTATACTCATCAAGTGCAATGAAAAGTGTTATCGGGGAGTAGAGGTAGCAAGTTCTGTAGCCCCATCTCCCTTTGACTGCTATCTTCAGCCCTCTTATCCGTTTAAGATATTAACTAATTAATTTTGAAAAGTAATCATCAGTCTAAGTCGATACGTCACTCAACCCCTCAGCGAGGGAGCCTGTTTGGACCACACATGTCATGGTTAGTATGGTCCCAGGTCAAGCCGCACAGAAGGAAGGTCCCTCTGCTACCTAGACATTCACTCAAGTCCTCCCTCACACCTGAGTTTTGGGTCTTCAAGCGAGAGGTTTAATGTAATTTGTCGTTTGGGTTGGGTTAACCCTTTCTTTCATGAAAAAAAATATCATTTTGGTTGTATGTGTTTGCTTATCTCTGCATTATTTAGCCATGATTAGGTCTTATACTTAAAGTGGCTGTAGAGTGTAGAATGGTCCTGCTTAGTTTAGTAGTTACAGAATGGTTCTGTTGAGTTAAGTAGCAACAGAAAGGCTCCTGTTGAGTAGAGCAGTACAGGATGGTTCCTGTAATAAGAGTAGCATCAGAATTGTTACTTCTGAGTAGAGTAGCTACAGAAAGGTTCCTGTTGAGTAGAGTAGCTACAGAAAGGTTCCTGTTGAGTAGAGTAGCTACAGAATGGTTCCTGTTGCGTAAAGTAGCTACAGAATGGTTCACTTTGAATATAGTAGCTACAGAATGGTTACTGTTGAGTATAGTAGCTACAGAATGGTTCCTGTTGAGTAGATTAGCTACAAAATGGTTCCTGTTGAGTAGAGTAGCTATAGAATGGTTCCTGTTGTGCATAGTAGCTACAGAATAGTTACTGTTGAGTATAGTAGCTACAGAATGGTTACTGTTGAGTATATTAGCTAAAGAATGGTTCCTGTTGAGTATAGAAGCTACAGAATGGTTCCAGTTCAATTGAGATCTAGAGAATGGTTCAATTGAGAAGAGAAGTTCCAGTACGGTTCTTGTAAAGTAAAGTAGCTATAGAATGGTTTCTGTTGAATATCTTAGCTACAGAATAGTTTAGTAAAGATACAGAAAGGTTCCTGTTGAGTAGTTGCAGAATGTTTCCTGTTAGAGTAGCTACAGAAAGATTAGTTTTTAAGAGTACTGCTCCATAAACTCTAAGCATAATAATCAGTCCCAAAATCTCAGAAATCTTTAATCGACACTGACAACTAAGTCCATCTTGTTGTAACTTTAATAATGATTAAGGGGTCGGCCATGATAAAATAAATTTTAATCTCATAATGCTTTACACTCCTAACCCTATTCCGGCTGGAGGGGGGGGGGGAGCTAATTCAAAGAGTAGTGGACTGAGGCTGTTCAAAAATTTTGACTTTTATAACTATCACAGGCCCTTCACCTTAGACTTGAAGCGGGGCTTTTATACCAACATCCCTGAGTCCTCAGGCATACTATATTTAGATCCACTTCCGGGTATTGGATTTCGACTATTAAGTTTAAGTTTGCCGACAAAATGACTTCTGTAGGGAAGAATGGACATTTTTCATATCGTCGTTTTAGGAATAGTATCGCTTTTTAACGCCCTGATGTTGCGAAGGTTTAAACTAGACACAGATTTCCCTATAATGAAAGTTGATCGTTTTTAATATTTTAGTTTATAAACATAAAGTTTATCATCTGATTCCACATCTACCTGAAATATCACTTGATTTTGTACTTAGCTGCTACCATGGAGCACATAATGATTTCCACAGAGTTTGATCGATTATTTTTATTGTAATATTATTTTTAAACTTCAATGACCTTTCCCGTCATACTGAGGCTGTAGGGCAGTTATAGAAAGACTTCTAACTGCTTAAGAATTCATTATTAACAGTTTTAATTATAGGCTCTAATCCACTTTTTCTCAAAGCATTTCCCTGAGAAAGTTCACTAACGACATTATTTAAATGAATACTATTGCTAAAAGTAAATAGCTATTAGGACTAAGTCCGAAGAATTGGCTCGAATGAAACATCCTGATCAACACTGCTTTGCTATGCTAGGACATACAATTCTGAATTTCAATGGATAAAAATGAAACCGAACATTCAGGCACCTAAGACAATCGGGACTGCTGTTAGACATCTGAGAACTTCATTTTGAGATAACTTCGGATGAACTGGCGATCAGAGAATTACTTTAGTTCAATAAAAACTTATGTTGAGAACTGAGATTTGATTGATATAATTTCGGATATATGTTTGAATGAGATTTAGGATTCTTGCCCAACAGACATGAACCATGCTTTTTTTCAATGAGAACTGAGCTTTCATTGAAATGATTTCAGAAATCTTAGACATGAATGGATTTTTCTGGACAGCAAATGATTTTGTGAGAATATTCGCGAATGTCCCAAAAAGCCTAAAATATGATATTTGTTAAACTTGTCTAACAAATTTTGAACAAATTTCATAAAGGGATTGTAATCGTAAAGTCAAATGACCTTCCATACAAATATGACCATGCCAGATTTACAACGGTACCCTAGAAGATATTGTCGTTTTTCTAGGCATAAAAATATTTAGTTTTGATCATTTCTATGTTTTCCTGCAGCAGTAGAAATGAGCAAGCAACTTTCATGGAGAAACAACAATCGAAAAAAAAAATTATGTCAAACATGGACATCTGGTTTATACTTGATCAGGCTTTAAAGGGTACCATTGTGAATCGGACATTGCCATTTTAGCATGTAGTATTACTTGAAATTACGCTTTAATAAATGTTTTTAATTTCAATATTTATTAAAGACTTACCACTCCTGATGCACCAAGTTAAACTCCTAAAATGTTAGATTAAAAAATAATTCTATAATTACCCTGGATCCCTGGGGCTCCTGCTCCTGTATCTGGGGGGAGGTGGACTGCCTCCACGAGGGGGTGGGGGACCTCGGGACATCGGAGGACCCCTAGACTCTTCATATCTTGATGGTGGTCTAAACATTACCAAATCAAATAAAGAAAGAAGGTATTTGCTTTTAGCAAAATTTAGTTCAGAGTTTTCAAGTCTTTGCTATCTATCAAACATTGATGTTGTTATGTAGCGTGCTGTTTTAACAGTAGTTTGAAAATTCACTGTTTTATTTATAAAAGTGAGTTTTAAGATCAGCTTCTTAATTGCACATGTCATAAGGAACATAAGGAACACAAGGAACACATGGAACATAAGGAACATAAGGAACATAAGGAACATAAGGAACACAAGGAACATAAGGAACACAAGGAAAATAAGGAANGAACATAAGGAAATGGAATCTTCAAAAGACCCCAATGTGGAACCCCTGACTTTCGCCAGGTGTGGGAAGCACTATCCCATGCACACTGGTTACAATGCCAGACATTTAGCCCCCTGCACAGGGAAGTCAAGGAGATACTTTCAGTTGCTGGCAAACCAATTATTTCCATGTATAATGTACAATGTACAATGTACAATGTCTGAGCTCAATATCCACAGGTTAAAAACAGCTGACTCCTATTTTTGCAATCTCTCATTGGTTATGTGCATTGTTTATGCCTTTAAATTGGCTGAATCCATAAAAAAACCAAAAGAAATCAAATGAATCTTTCGATCACATAAAAAACAGATTACTTTTTTCTGAAGTGATGAACCACGAAACATGACAGTTAGTGAATAGTTTAAAATGTCTTCTTCCATAATTTGATAAGTTGTTTGATACCAAAGAGACTAATAAAATTTCTTATACGACAGTTATAATTTAGTAAAATTGATTTCATCGTAAAATATAATGAGTTAAACATTGTTTTTAAAAGAAATAAACTGAAAAAAGTCTTTAATATCTAATACAGATAGAAGAAGACATTCAAAACTATTCACCAACTGTCATGTTTCGTGGGACACCCTATATACTAAAATATTAACCTCAGGCTTAGAAAATAATGACTTTATTATGCTTGAATTTTAGATTAACAGTTTGAAAAATTGATTTAATTGTTTTAAAATGCTAACCTAGGAATGAAGCAATATATTCTGCCCAGTAGAGGATAAACCCATGGAATGAGATGGCTATAGGTAAAATTATTACCACACAGTAAACCAGTTTGTGCCACGGTGTAACAATCATGTTAGCTGATACATCTGAAAATACAAAACAAGATAAAACTTTAGAAAATTCTTCGTGAATTGCAAGCAAACTTAAAGGGAGTGACCGGCTATGTAAGGTAGTTGAACTGAGTATGCAGTGTTGTGGACAAATTCTTTAGAATTCATTTGAGACATTAAACCATTAAATCTTTTAAAAATCTGTAAATCCTGAGTTTGAGCGCAAATTCGACGTTCAAAACTCCTACTTTTGGGGGTGGATACGTTTTCAGAATTAGTTTTTTTAAAATACTAAATAACGACAACGAAAAATAAAGTAAAAATTATACAGTAATCTAATTAGATGGTTAGGAACATATTTCTCAAAAGAAATTTGTCAATAAATCAATGCTAAAATCGATTATTTCGTTCTCATTATTATAATGAATTTCTTATCTTCTTTGAATTTATTCGCAGATTTCTTCAAATTCTTAAAATGTCGTCTTTTCAATAATAATTCTAGAAAATCTGCGAGAATCTTTGTGAATAATTAGAAACCAGAATAATGAGAAAATAGAAACTAATAATTGAAAAAGATTACTTATTTTCGATGATAAGATTAATTTTCATTTTCTCAACATGTTACAGTGAAACCCTTAATAACGAATACATCGGAAGAATCTATCAAATGTCGTCTTGACAATTTTTCAATGAGTTTTATACTATATTACGTAAATTTCAGTATTTACGAAAATAAACAAATAGCCATGAATATGCAGGAACAGTTTTAAAGAGTTCCATATAATCATTTAATTAAAAAACTAAATACTTGCAACATTCCATTATCAGAAAGTGAAGAATACGACATTTGATGAATTCTTTCGATGTATTCGTTTTTAAGGGTTTCACTGTACTATACATGAAGTCCCAATAAACATTAGAATATAATGAAAAGGAACTGAGTTTTTTGCCACAAACTCTAAATTTATAATTCTTTTGTCTTAGCAACACAATGTCGCAAAACCTTCGATATTTCAAAAGCTATGAATTCTGTTAGATCAAATAGTCTAATTTTGAAGTAATATTTGTCGACACCATCAGGTTGTAAAGATATTTGGATTAGCAATTTAGAGTTTGTGGCAAAAACTCAGTTCCTGTATCTTTAGATAATTTTTAGAATTAGAACTTTTTTTACTAAATCAAAGTCAGACCGCATTTTGAAAGTTCAAAGATGAGGGGTGCTATAGATAGAATTGTGTTTTATATTTGCTGCATATTTTTAAGACGGTTCAGACATAATTAAATTGTTGTGTTATGAATATATAAAACTTGTCCATCCTTGCTCTATACTCACTATACACTATAATATTCAACCTTATATAAGCGTAATCAAACCATAACTCCAGAAAACCAGAAAAAAAAAACATTTAAACTTTAAAAAACATCTTTTTAAAAGATAATTTAAACTTTTCGGCATCAAATTTATGAATTAATTAATCTGATCAAATTATTTTATTTTGTCTTGTCTATTTAACGAATTTTACCTAAGAGAACTTTAGAGGTTTCTCAATCGATTGTAATATTTACCTTCTCTTAATATTCCTCTGCATGCTTTAAGCATATAGGGGAGGGGGGAGGGGAGGGGGGAATTTCCTGAATTATTAAAGGTTTTAGAAATTGCGAACATTTTGATTGAAATTATTAACAGAATGTTCAAGATAAATATTTTTTTGGTAACCCTGTAAAATTCATTTTTAGGTCGGAAACCCGGACCCCATGAGGTTAGAAACCCCCATAGGTCGGAAAACCTGAGGTTAGAAACCTCCATAGATCAGAAAACCTCAGGTCAGAAAACTCAAGGTCCGAAAACATAAGGTCAGAAACCTTCATAGGTCAGAAATCCTTAGGTCAGAAATCCTAAGGTCAGACAATCTAAGGTCAGAAACCTAAGGTCAGAAACCTCAATAGGTCAGAAATCCTAAGGTCAGGAACCCCCAGAGGTCAGAAATACTAAGGTCAGAAATCCTTCGTTCAGAAAACCTAAGGTCAGAAACCCCATAGGTCAGAAATACTAAGGTTAGAAATCCTTAATTCAGAAAACCTAAGGTCAGAAATACTAAGGTCAGAAAACCTAAGGTCAGAAACCTCCATAGGTCAGAAATACTAAGGTCAAAAATGCTAAGGTCAGAAATCCTTAGTTCAGAAAACCTAAGGTCAGAAACCCCATAGGTCATAAATACTAAGGTCAGAAATACTAAGGTCAGAAAACCTAAGGTCAGAAACCCCCATAGGTCAGAAATACTAAGGTCAGAAATACTAAGGTCAGAAATCCTAAGGTCAGACAACCTAAGGTCAGAAACCTAAGGTCAGAAACCTCAATAGGTCAGAAATCTTAAGGTCAGGAACCCCCATAGGTCAGAAATACTAAGGTCAGAAATCCTTCGTTCAGAAAACCTAAGGTCAGAAACCCCATAGGTCAGAAATACTAGGGTCAGAAATCCTTAATTCAGAAAACTTAAGGTCAGAAATACTAAGGTCAGAAATACTAAGGTCAGAAAACCTAAGGTCAGAAACCTCCATAGGTCAGAAATACTAAGGTCAAAAATGCTAAGGTCAGACATCCTTAGTTCAGAAAACCTAAGGTCAGATACCCCATAGGTCATAAATACAAAGGTCAGAAATACTAAGGTCAGAAAACCTAAGGTCAGAAACCCCATAGGTCAGAAATACTAAGGTCAGAAATACTAAGGTCAGAAAACCTAAGGAACGAAGAAATGTAAGCCCTTCCTGGAAAAAAAAACCTGAAAACACCTAATATCTTTAATGTCTAGTTCTCAACCACTCTTAAATCTGTCAAAATACAAAAGTGAAAAACAATAGATATATTTCGATTCCCAGGAGTAAAATATCACCAAGAGGAGAGGAATAAAGCACATCAGAATAGGAATCATTGCAATAAGGAGAGACAGAACCTCTGCTTGCTCATCAACGTGCAATTTAGAATAGTTATGATCATTATTTTCTTTCAGATAGTTTCCTTGAAACTTCGGAATTGCTCCTGGTTTCAATCTGCATCGATCAGAATTAGGGACAACTATATCGTCAGGATCGAAATGATTGAAACAAATCCTGGACCCTTGGCTCAGTTGAGAACAGACTCCTAGAGCAACTAACCATTTTTTTCGAACATCTTCATTTTTTGGTATGACAAACTGTGCATTTCTTGCTTTACAGATTATGCATGCAGGCATTGTGCTGTCTGAAATTATTTATTGTGCAGTAAAATGGCTAAAATTCACTTCTAAAATCTTAATTTACGTTTATTTATATTTAATTAAGTAAAATACAAATTCTAAGTCTGTGCTTGTAAACAAAGGGAGTCCAGTTTCTGCTGTACTGTACACTCCGTATACAGACCAATTTATATATATATATATATATATATATATATATATACATATTTATAAATACTTGGGACATAAAATGTCGTCATCCAACTAAGAGTTTGGCCCACTTTAGTATTTATTCACTTTGGATAACACTGCACAACAAAATTATTTGATTTAAGAGTCACGTGATTTGTAAATAATAAAAATATATTACCTGTTATGTATCTGTTTGGACTCTGGCACTCCCAGAGATACAAAAGGAAATTCACTGTCTCTTAATACTGTATGAACATTCAACCTGTTCTTCACTACTGGAGAGCAGAAACTATATTAAAATGGGAAGGCAGGTAGTGACTATCAATACCGGTTTTAGAGATAAACAATATTTTGTTATGATATGATAATTAATATATTTTTGATAGCACTGTCAAAATATTTTCCGGAGATAATTCAAAATGTCGTCTTTTATGTTTATTTCTTTAATTTGCTATGAGTTTAGGCTTTCTCAGCCCGAGGCCTTTCTCTCAAACTTTCCCCCCTATCCTCTTCTCTTTCTTTCCCCTCTCCCGGCCCTCACTTCCTCATCTGGATTCCATAGTATGAGGTGTAAACACTGTGTAATTAAATCTCGGGTAATTAGAAAATACTTGGAAAAACAGAAGGAAATCCTTGAAACTTCAAATCAAAATGTCGTCGTTAAGAATTATGTGAATGGTTAATCAAATAAGCTAAAGTATTGATTAGATTGACTAAGATGCAGCGAATAAGTAATTAAATCTTTACTCCAGATTAATGTAACACATTTTTCAGATTTCATTGTACGCGTGTACTGCACTTGTAGAGTACAAATTGTAGCTGCAAATATGAATATTAGCAAAGTGGGTAATCAAACTAGTAGTCAAGATCCACAAGCAGTGAACAGCAGGTATTTAGAAATCTATGAAATTTCTAAAATTAAATCTACTCTATTTAAAAACCTAATTAAAGAAGCTAAACTATTCCTATTTATACACCTTCAATTTTTACGGCCAGAGCCGGGCGTGGATTTCCTTTAATTCTCACTTTGTTTTGCAAAATCTTAAAACGTTCATCTATAATTTAAATAAAAAATTTTACAGAAAATTTCCATTTCTTGATGAAAAATCTGTTTGCCTTTTATCTCATAATTAATTAATCTATCTATCTATTCTATACAGGGTATTTGTTGGGAACCTAAACACCTTCCAGATTGTTAAAACCGATGTTGAAAAATTGTTCCAGAAGTATGGACGACTGGCGGGTATCTCTATGCATAAGGTGAACAAAAATCCGTTTACATATCTTATGTATACATACATCTATATTAGCTAGGGACCCCAGCTTTACCTAAACACACACTTTATCATTCAACTAAACTCAGAATTTAAAACCAAGCGTGAAGAAAATTCCTGGAATCTGATGATTTTCCAAATCAGAAATTTGAGGCCAATCCGTTCAGTGGTTCTTAAGTTATGTTAAGACATATGCAAAAAACAAACAGAGATTCTACTTTATGTATATAGATATATCTATATATATTATATAACCCAACAACATATACGTATATACGTAATTACTTACATACCAAAAATAACTTGAAAATTAGCAATAAACTCCCTTTCAAATCTTGTTTTGTTTTACAACTTGACGATTGTTCAGTAAAGTACTTAAGTTAAAAATTTCGAGATAAAAAATAATGGAGCTGGAGTCTAAAAATAAAGTTTTGAGTCTCAGTTTATCAATTTTTAAAATATTGAATAACGGAAAAAATTATTATTTGATTTCTTAACATGTGTTCATGAATTTTGAAGATATATTGTTTTCTTAAAGCCCAAATTCTTCCTACTAAAATTGACTTCACAGAATTATTTTCTCTTTTTTGTTTGAACTGCAGTGCAGCCGAAGATTCTTTTTAAATCATTCCCTCTTTTTATTCAGGGATATGCCTTTGTACAGTTTACAAGCCCGTTTGATGCCAGATCAGCATGTTTAGGAGAGGATGGTAAGGTTTAATTTGATTTTTGTCTTATTTGACAAGTTTAGTTTTTATCATAATTTTAGAAGATATTTCATTTTTTAACATGGACACTTCAAATGATTCAAAGTTTATTCTCTGTGATTTTTATAGTGATGCACATTTTTTTAAAAACGATTGTTTCGTTAAGAAAAGTCGACGAAAAACGGAAAACGAAAAGATCGTTTTAAAAAAGTTCCTTTTTTAAAAACGGTCGTTTTTAAACGATCGTTAAAGACAACCCTTCGTTAACGATCATCAACATAATTATTAATGTAAATTTTTTTTTAACGATCTTTTTTTCAAAAACGACAGTTTTTTTAAACAATCATATAAAAACCCAGATCGCGTATCATTTTTATGAAAAACGACCGTTTTCAAAAACGATCCTTATTCGTTTTCTAACAACTTTGATGCATGGCCATCCACTTGGTCCTGTTGGCCTGCATTTTGAAGACTAAATCAATCATGGTGTTCCATTATTGGCCAATGGCCAAAGCTGTGAATTCTTGAATCGTGGATAGCTCAATCTTTTTTGATCTTTAGACTAATTTAATCTTCTATTTAATATCCTAAATTTACCCAATCAGAGTTTTACATGCGGAAAACGAATAGCCAATCCGAAGCACGGGTGCTTTGTGTTTAAACAATGAGAGATCAAAAAATTAGAATTATGGGTATTTAACTCTAAAGTTCCCGGCTCAGGTGTGCCAGGCATGAAGTATGTACGCAAAACATCAATTGTGAAGAACCGGTTTTTTGTAATTCGAAACCTAAAACATTACTTGCAAAGCGGAGTGCGGACGTATTATCATCCTTAAGAAATTTATCTAACCACTTCTTGTTTTAGCAAAAACCTTGTGTGGGCAAATCTTAGATGTGAACATGGTGAATGAGCCTAAGGCCCATGTTACCAAGTTGAAAGCTCAGAAGAGAAAGGATAAGGATGTTCCAGCTCAAGTTCTAGGATATTATGTCTCTAGCCTAGGAACCATTGTTCAGGTAAATCATGGAGAAAGAAGGGACATTTAAGAGTGACATTTGAGGTTAATGTTATAACTGTAAACAATAAAAAAATATTTTTTTCAAAATTACATTTAACCTGAGGGTAAGGTCTGGGCAATCATTGTTTACTAACTGAATTAAAAAAAAAATTAACTTGTTCTAGGCAGAGATGGGACAATTTTTGTAAACAAATGAAATTTTTCTTAAACGGTCGTGTCGTTCAAAAAACTAACGATAGCTGAACAACTTGAATCGTTAAGAGAAGGAAAAAACTATTGTTTTTTAAAACAAAGAGAAACAAAATAAAAACGAAATATTTCAAATCAATGAACATTCTTGAAAAAACGAAAAATTTTTACTTAACTAACGAACTTTCCTTAACAAATGATTTTTTTAAAACCAAATTTTAAAAAACTATCTGTTTTTATTAAAAAACGGTTTTACTGAAAGATATCATTCAATAAGAATACTAACGAAATATATGGAAAATGAACAAAAATTTGAAAAATGTGACAGACAAAATCAATTTGTTTTTAAAAATTAACAAAAAAAATGGTTTGTTAACGAACGATGAACAAATATATTGATGAAAATCTGAACTGGCCTTCCTGAGATGGAATTTAAAGAATTTGAGCCGCGGTTTAAATCCGCCAAAACCCGGTTTAAATTAAGCGCCGGTTTAAATCTTGAAACATTTGATACAATTTTAAGTGGAACCAACCATATTTAAACCGCGGCTTAAATTTAAACCGCCGCTCAAATTCTTTAAATTCGGCCACTGGTTTCTTTTAATTTGTAATTTTATGTTATCCTCTCCATTCACATCATCATCACATTATCTGATTAAAAATCTGGAAATTTCGTATCGAAAAGTGTTATAATCTGACAATTTCCTGTATATTTTGATGCAGCAGAAATGCGTCACTTTTGTACAGATATCGTACTTTTTCACCAAGTTTTCAGAAGGTGGAAATCTCGTTCGTTCTTAATATGACAAATGTGGTTCATTGTATAAATTAGGAGTCAATTGAAATTATGACGTCAATCCCATTAACACTTCTGTAAATTTGTTTAGCACCCTGTACCCATGCAAACCGGAACAGCTAAGCGTGCTCGTGTTGATGATGATGACAATGAGGATGAAGATGAGAGTGTTGATGAAGAAATAGATCTGGACAATCTGAAATCTTATTGTACTCCTGATATTCTAATCTGTGGAAACTGTAGGTCAGAAATTTATTTATGTACAGGGTGTCCCAATAAACATGGGAAATAAGTGACGACTTCAATATCGTCAAAGTTCAGCGCGGCATTATAACGTGAAGACGACTTTAGTAGTATCCCAGTTAAAGCATTCAAATTTGAAACTACTGGTGTAAGGAATTTCTAAATTTGGTCTACCAATTTTGGACCTTCAAAATTGACAGAGTTATCGAGAAATCTGCCCTGACCCCTTTTTATTCGTTGACAAAAATTATTCAAATGTTTGATATCTCCGTCAATTTTAAAGATATAAAGAATGTAGACCACACTTTGAAGAGCTACAAACAAGCTTATGGGACATTATTTGTCATTTTATCAAATATCGGAAATCAAAGACGATTTTCAAGTTGTCTCTCAATGCCCATGTCTACTGGGACACCGTGTACTAGCTTTGACTAAAAACATAACTCAGAACATTCCCATGTTTACTGGGACACCGTGTACTAGCTTTGACTGAAAACATAGCTGAGAACATTCCCATGTTTACTGGGACACCATGTACTAGCTTTGACTGAAAACATAGCTGAGAACATGTCCATGTTTACTGGGACACCGTGTACTAGCTTTGACTGAAAACATAACTCAGAACATTCCCATGTTTACTGGGACACCGTGTACTAGCTTTGACTGAAAACATAGCTGAGAACATTCCCATGTTTACTGGGACACCATGTACTAGCTTTGACTGAAAACATAGCTGAGAACATGTCCATGTTTACTGGGACACCGTGTACTAGCTTTGACTGAAAACATGGCACAGAACATTCCCATGTTTACTGGGACACCGTTGACTGAAAACATTACTCAGAACATTTCCGTGAATCTACCAAGTTCCCAAATCAAAAGGATATCAATGTCTTTCAGATATACAAAAATACAGACACCCACACAGAGATTAAACTACTTGATTTTATATATTGATTCAAATAAATTCACAAGACATTTTGGAATTTAGATTTTTTTAAATAAAAGTTTGTTTTGACATTGTCAAAACTTTCTCAGACAATTGTTTTTAAACTAAGAATGTAAACACGAAACATTTCATGTCAAAACTTTTAAACTCTTCCATATTCTTGAGTTTGGTTAAAGTTTTTCTTAAAGTTTCAGGAATTTTTCTAGCAAAGTTGATCAAAGCTTAAAAGTCTCCGGTTCACTGAAGTCAAGACAATCCTTAAAGTAATTCTTCAAATGTTTAGACAGCCTTGAACGCTGCTCGATGTTTACGTGTAAGGGTGCATATTTTTGTTTGCGGTGGGTCTCAAACTTTTTTTCTGAAACATATCGATAAATAAAGAAGAAACAAATTTGTGTTTTGAAGTCAATTAAGCAGGAAATATTTTTGTAGCTAGTTCTGGATCTAAATTATAAAAAATATAAATCTGAATCGAAAAATGAAATAATAAATAAAATCGAAAAGTTTTAAAAAGTTTAGCCCCAGGTTAATTCCGATTGCTAAATCTGATTTTTCACTGTGGCAACTTTTGTTTTTCTGCTTTTTCTCTCTTCTGGATATCCCTGCAGGGTTCTCTCCTTAATTGTGCCATTTCCCGGCTTTTGATTAGCTGTTCAGTTTATGCAAAGGAATCTCTGATTGGTTAAATTTTATACACTTTCCTGGTTATCAAATGAACAGTGGTGTACTGGGGGGGGGGCGAAAACTATGTGTACCCCCTAGACATGCCCACCTAGGCTCTAGAGGCCTAATATATTAAACTTAAATATTCTTGTCTTATCAATTGACAGTTTGTCAATTTTATGATAATTTCTTAAATTCTTTCATTAGACCTTAATCTTATTATCGGGGTTTTATTTAAAATCCATATCTGAGTTTAAGATGTTTGACCCAGAGTTAAGTTACTTAATTAAATTCACAGGGTTGAGAAAAGGGAGAGCAGGGTTGGATATTTGGGGGAGCAGTGGCCCAGTCGGAACAGATAATTTAAAGGGGGAGCAATGTTTAGGAAAAGGGGGAGCAGACCCCCCCACTAGTGTTTATTTATCATGGCCTCACTCTCAATTATCAGAAATTGATAAGTCTTAGATTATCTTAGACAATGTCAAACACAATTTCACAAATGATATGATTTCTTTTAACAGTGCAGAAAAAATAGCCTTTAACTTGGTATGGTATATAATTTTAAGATAAACACATTTTTTTTGGGTGGGGCAGGGGTTTGATTAAAATTTGCATCATACCTAATTTTGCGGGGGGAAAAACATGCTTAAAAAAAATTGACACACTTGCTTTAACACATCTAATCAGGTTCAAAAAGAAGAAATAAGAACTGTTAAGTCATTTACTGTGCACTTTACTATAGAGTCCTGATGTCATTGTTCATTGAAATGCATTAGAACTAAACAAACATTGCAAAACGTAATCCTTAATTGTGAAATCTTTTTAACCCTACTGTGCAAAACCGCCAGTACCAGGACAGGGGTGGAAGGGATTTCGCTCCCCCTCACCTTTGCTCTTTCTCCCTCTGATCTACGAGGGGAGGAAGGCCAACCACAACAATTTCTCGTCCGAGCCACCTTTAAATCCTCGTCCTTTCAATATTATTTTTTTAAGTGTCTATTCCTTCCAGACAAAACTATTTTATAAGTATAAAAGCCACGTTATGGCATAAATTTTCAAATATCAAATTTTGTAAATCGAAAAAGAAAGTTTCATTTGAATTAAAGGTTTCAAGTTTAATGTCTTTAAAAATGTTCACCTTTTTTACGCGCATTTTCAGATATTTTTGGTGTAGAATGTCGCAAATAAATCCAAGATTATAGAACTTCAATCTTTTTTGTTAACTTTAGTGAAAACCATAGAATTTTTCCGGGTGGTTCCATGGGGAAAATTATAGGCAGAGGTATGCCGAATATTTTGCTATTTATTTTATATCACGAAGGTTAGCCATTACGAAGGCAGAAGAGATTCAAAATTTACCTAAATAAAGTTTGACATCATTCTCATGGGTTTGAAGATTTAAACATGATATAATCACTGCAATACTTTAGTCCATCCATATTTAATGCCCTAACGTGGCCAGATTTAAAAAAAATAGTTTTATCTTCAAGAATTGGAAACTTTTTAACACAAAATAATCAAAGGACGAGGATTCCGAGGTGGCTCGGAAGAGAAAATGAGGAGAATGTGACTCGGACGAGAAATTAATGTGGCTGGCCTTCCTCCCCTCTGATCTACTGATTCTAAACATGTATTTATATCACAACTTTGTGAACATCATTCTTCAGTTAAAAACATTTCACCAAAATTCATCTAAAATGATTTTTTTAGACTACCTTTGATGATCCATGGGACCTTATGGAACATGTTCAGGTTAGAAACGGAATTGAGCCTTTGCCACAAACTTTGATTTTCTAATCCCTATATCTTGTCATGGACTTTAGATATTTCAAACTATGAACTCTGTTAGATCAAATAATGTATGTTTGAAATATCAAATATCAAAGTTTTACACCATCTGTTTGCAATGATTAAAGGAATTAGAAAGCTTAAGTTTTTGGAGATGCCCTTCCTTTATTCTGTTTTTAACGATGTCATTTAAATTAAAAGTTAAAAATGAAGTCATTATCATATAAAGTTCTTAATGACGTCCTTATTATATAAAGTTATTAATGATGAGCTTAACAATTTATCAATGATAACATTGCTTTTTTATTCAAAGTTATCTTTTAAGGAATTTAATATTGTTTTTGTGAATATTGATATTTTTAGTATCATTATTATTGCTGTAACTATTGAAATAATTTATCAGGATGTTCATACGATGAATATATATGAGCTGTCAGGACCAGAACATGATGACAACTATAATAACATCACTGCTGTCAGTTGTATCAACAACTTTAACAGCTGACTCTACTAGACAACTGTTAATTAACATCTTACAAAAGAGATTAAGATGCAATCACAAAATAAATTTAAAAAATAGAAATATGTTTTAATTAATTCCTGCAATGACTGGAACAAATAAAAAATATCTAAATTGGTGCCATCACTTTAACCTTTCTTTGAAGGCTATTTTATGTTAAAAAAACGTCTCAGTGAAAATTTTATTGATTTTTAATTTTCAAATTAGGTTGCAAAAAAGTACAAATTAAAATTTACCAATTGAACTTTTAAATAATGTTTGCATATGTTTAAATTTTTTAAAATTATTTATCGATTTATAGTTATTTTTAATCAAAATTTGATAGTTTGGAAGAGATAAACAACCAGTAATATGTGTTAAAACACAAATCAGATGTTGTTTACATTGAAAAATTGTTGTTGGAGGATTTTTCAAGTTTAAAAAGGAAATAAGTTTATTTTGCATTATAAACATTTTACGTCCGTTAGAGTCCCCAAAGGCCCAAAATGTAGTCAAAAATAAAGGAACTGAGTTTTTGCAACACACTCTAAATTAATCCTTTTATCTTTGCCAATGTCGAAGAACTTTGATATTTCAAACTTTTAATTCAAATTCAAATAGCCTGAAGTTAAATTATCAAACTATAAGGTTGCAAAGATATAGGGATATAAAAATTTGAGTTTTTGGTACAAACTCAGTTCGTTTTTAGCAAACAAACGGTAGCTAGTTGTAAAAGTAGAATTTAAAACTACGTTTATTTATATTTTTATGTGAGTACACTTTACATCATAAATGGTTTTAAAAAAAGGAGATATTGAGGAAATAGTAGCAGAAATAAACCATAGAAATATAATCTTAAACTTGACAATCTTTGCTACAAAATGTTTCTCTTAATTTTCTGAATTATGATAAGTTTTTAATACTTCTGTTAAAATCCTTGTTTCTATTCAGTTGCTGTATAACTTTCTGATTTTATAAGTCTTTAAGTGTTAAAATTATATTGTTTTAAACAACCTTTAATTTGTTGTTTATTATATTAAATGTTCAATGTTAATAAAGTTAAAATCAAAGTTAGTAATTTTTTTTGGTTTGAAATGGGCATTTTTTTGGGGTCCGTTATTTACGATAAAGTTGTTTATACTTTTAAGTTGCCCGTGGAAAAAAATTTGAAAAAAGAAATTTTAAAGAAAAAAATGTTTGAAAAAAAACTTCAAATTTTTTAACCTATGACCCCCCCCCCCGGCCACCCATGACTGTTCACAAAAAAATTCAACCCAATCCGTCCAGTCATTTGGCCGGCTATAGGCAAAATATATTTTTAATATCTACGTACATATATTGTACATATTTTTTTCTCTGATCAAAGAAATTATTCAAAAAGATTTATCAAAACAATTTTACCAATAGTTTGAAAAACCGTTTTGGTTAATTATAATAATAAGAAATGTTTTTTTTTCAACTAAATTCTTGATTTCAATAATAATACAGTTGGGGTTCTGAAATACTGTCTCGCCCTTAAAAACGAGCAAAAGGCATTTTGCTCGTTTTCTGCCTTATAAAAAGCGAGCAAAAAGCTTATTCCTCGTTTATGCCTTATGAAACCAAGCATAACCCGATCTAGGGATCTGGGCGTTTTCTAGTCCTAGAAACCTTTAATTTTGAGCTTCCTTTTCTCTTTTTTTACTTTTCTATTTATGATTTATTTATGTCTGCATTTAATTGGTATAATTTTTCATCGATTAAATCAAAAAACTTTTTTACATCGCATAACAGCAGACATACATGGTGTCTGATGAAAACTTTGTATTATAAATAATTGAAAGCACTTTTTTTCTTTTTTTTCTTAGTAATTTCATAACTTCTTCATAACTTCCAACCTTTTAAAACTTTATTCTGTAGAAATTTTCTTTTATCAAATATGCAAATTTGTTAACCTAGAGGAAAATATACGGCAAAAACGATATCTGGGGTTTCGATAGTTTTTGTTTTGTTTTTACCATACATTTTCACCGATGACTACGAATTTGCATGTTTGATAAAAGCAAACTTATACGGAATACACGTTTAAACATTAGATTTTCGTAAACCTTTAAAAAAATAAATAAATATTAACAGTTTCTGTTAAACTGATCTAGCCATTGCACTTCGCTAGTCGTAGGACGCTGATTTTTTAATTTCCGCTTAAATGTGCAAACTAAAATGTATCCATTTCTTGGTTTTGAAGAGATTCGAGTAAAATTGCGAGCAAGACGAAAATATTTACATACATTATCTAAAATAAACAAAAAAAGGATACATAAAAAATTACATTACGATTATATCACATAGATTTACAATTTACAATTTACAAATTATTTTTTTTTGTATTTAAGAATTAATAGATATTTGTATATCTATTTATGCGATATATTTGTAAAATCAAGGAATAATGGGATATCTTTGTATGATCAAGGATTAATGGGATATCTTTGTATGATCAAGGATTAATGAGATATCTTTGTATGATCAAGGATTAATGAGATATCTTTGTATGATCAAGGATTAATGAGATATCTTTGTAGGAACAAGGATCAATAAGATATCTTTGTAGGATCAAGGATTAATGAGATATCTTTGTATGATCAAGGATTAATGAGATATATTTGTATGATTAAGGATTAATGAGATATATTTGTATGATCAAGGATTAATGAGATATCTTTGTATGATCAAGTATTAATGAGATATCTTTGTATGATCAAGGATTTATGAGATATCTTTATAGGATCAAGGATTAATGAGATATCTTTGTAAAATCAAGGATTAAATGGAGTAAATGGTCGCTTTCTTTCAGGAAAAAAAAACGAGCATTAGGCCTAATGCTCACTTTCTATAAGAAAAAAAAAACAGCATTAAACCTAATGCTCGCTTTTTATAAGGCAGAGAACGAGCATAAAGCCTTTTGCTCGCTTTTTATAAAGCAGAAAACGAGCATTAAGCCTTTTGCTCGCTTTTTATAAGGCAGAAAACGAGCAAAAGACCTTTTGCTCGTTTTTAAAGGCGAGAAAGTGTAACACCACAGTTTAAGACTCCTTTTCAAAAACATTTTTTTATTTAAACTTCAATTAGATATAATATAATCTTTGCAACCCAATGTAATAGACCTTAGATATTTCAAACTTTTGAATTCTTTTTAAGTTTGTAAAAGTGGAAATAATAAAAATATAATTTCAAAATTTACAGAACCTATTTACACTTTTTTGACTTTTAGCAGTGAGTTTTTGTTTGTTTGTTGCATATCTAGGTCTGTAATCTAATTAGGGTGAACCCTGACCCTTTCCTGGAATCCCCTGGACTACATACTTCCGTCACTTAAACTAATCTGGTTAAAACCTCCTCTTTTAGAAATAGTTGCATTCTAACAATGCTAGTGATCATACTTCCCATTCTTTTGCTCTCCCTGATACACCCTGGCACACCCGTTCACAGGCAGGAGGGGAAGAGTTCCATGTTTAGAAATCAACAGGAATAGTTCATTTTATGCGTTTTTCCCTTTTTACCCTTTTTTCCAAATTGCTTCGCTTTTTTCTGATCTGAAGATAAATTTATCTTTAGAAAATTTTCAAAAAAGATACATATTAAAATTATTCACATAATTATTTGATTTCTTTAAAATTTTTAATGCCCCTTTAGAGAAAGAATTGCCAACAAAACTAAATCAAAAAAGCTATCAAGCCCAACCCAAGTCATCATAAATGATTTTTAATATTAGTGGCCAACTCAGTCATTCTTCAAAGGATTTGAAAACTTTGGAAAGTTTCCATTCAGACAAGGTAAAATATTATCATGTTATTCAGGAACGGTCTAAAAAAAAATAGATTTAGTAAGAGGTATATAGATTTGTTCTTTAATAATTAATTCTTTCCAAGACACTTTATTTTTAAGCTCTTTTCATAAGCTTCTGACCTAATTTATCTCCCCCATGAAAATTAATACCCAGAACTACCACTATTCAAATTTTTATTTTATAATTCTTAATTTTTAAACAATATATCTTTAAACAGTTATATGATATCAGACGTAAATAGTTTGACTTATCTATATATCTTCTTCATTTTTTTCTTGTTCGTAGATCTTTCCATCATATTTCAACTAATTTTGAAAAAAAGAAATATTTCAGACATTCTTGCAGTTTGTCATGCTGCAAGCTTTAGAACCACATTAAGGTGCCTCCTTTCCTATTTATACTGTGCGCACATTATATGTGTCAGCAACTGAATTCAACTTTTTGATTCAGCTCTAAACAAACACAGCTCCAAACATGATGTATATTCTGTCAGGGGGAAATAAATGGAGGGGGGGATATCTTCAAGCCCCATCTCAATTGTTGTCTCCATTTGCTATTGGAATATAAATTGATAGTGTAAAGCTAATCATCAGAAATTTCCCCTGTTTTTTGTTTCTACCTTTTGAGGCCCTCTCCAAATAGTTCTTGTGACTTCAATCAAGTTGTGGAGCAGGTAGAAGGGAGATAAGGAGGTTTGGAGGAGGAAGGGTATGAGGGGTTTGGTAGAAGATTTATAAAGTAGTAATGCAACCATCATTTAAACTGTCACAAATGTGATAATGATGTAAGAGTGAATTCAAACATTATTTTATGAAATTACTTATTTGTTATCTATTCAACTTTTTTTCAGGGACCTTTAATCGACCATTTCTAAATCTGGATGACATTGATGCTCAGGGGACTGAAGAAGAAACTGCAGAGGAAACTGAGGAAGCAAACCAGGAGAAGGTTGAAGAAAACAATTCTGCACAGGTAAGCAGACCAGACAGTGTTACCCACAAAGAAAAAGACTTTGAGGATGATTGAAATTTTTGATATACACTGCTTTTAAGGTGGAATTTGATTCTTTGCCTTTAATATGATTTTTATGGGTAAATTAAATGATTTGAAAAATGTAACAAATAAACAGTTGCATGGAATCAAAAGATAAGAAATATATTCCTTATAATTGTCTCTAAATTTAAATACTTTTTGAGTAACACTGTAGCTTAAACCCCTTCTTCTCCCACATTTTTATGATGTAATTTGCAGGAAGAAACTGTAACTGTTGAGGCAACAACACAAGCATTGGCAGATGAAACAACAGCTGCTCTTGCAACAACTGAAGCAGAAGCTGTTGTGGAGGTTGAAACAACAGAAGTACCAACTGTGGTAGTTCAAACAACTGAAGGCATATTTGACAGTGACTTCTTTCAAGGAGCAGGAGACTTTGAAGTTATAATCGTTGAGCCAGGAACAGGAGGGAGCAAAATTAAGCCAAGCTCATTCAAGGGAGGCAAAAAGTATCCTGGTAGCTTGTTCGGAGATTGGGGCTGGCAGTCACAAGAAGTTTACACAGGAAAGAACACATTTATAATTTATTCTTGCTCAGCTATTTTTGATCTTTTTTTTAAATAATTAGAAATTTTATTTGCTTACAAGAGTTTTGGAAAGTTCTGAAAAGTTTACAAACTTTTTAGGCTACGTTTTTATGTATGGCTTTAATCATTTTAATCCAAGAAACCTGAAAAAAATAAACAAAAACAGTAAAAAAATGAAAGCTTTTAGATCTGCATTCTCATAAAATGGACTAATTTTTATCTACAATATCTTAGGCTTTCTAAAAAGTATAAAATCTTTTTTAGACATGTTTCACAAGCCAATTGCACCAACAGTTGTTCCTAAGCAAGTAACCACAACAGAGAGTGCTTCTGTTGAGACATATGCCCAGATCATGCAAAACTACAAATTAGTTCCAAAACATGGCTATAATCCTTTCTACAATCAAGGGTTCAGGCCGGGTCAACAGCAATTTATAAACTATCCTCAGCTCCCTCAGTTAAACCAAAACACTCAACCACCAACGCTTAAGCCAATAGTTACAAAGCCCCCAACCATTATACCGGAAATTGCTCCAAACACATTCTTTGGAATTTTTGATTTCTTCAACAAGGAAAAAGAAAAGCCAGAGAGACCAGGACATGAACATGAAAGTACAATTGCACCACCTCTACCTCCAAGGAAAGCTACAGCTAAATTTCATATTCAGGGGTATAAATTCTTAAAAGACTACCCCCATCCCATTTCGGCATATTGTTGTTGTTTTTAATAAAGGAAATGTGTGAAATTAAAGGTTCTGTGTGCATATCTAAAAATAATGAGCTGACAAAAATATTCATTGTTTTCCATTTAAAAAAACTCTGGAAAATTTACTTTCTTCTAATGAAAAATATTGTCATCTAGTTAAATGTTTATTTTTTCAGTCCTGCTCCCCAATCTCCAGAAGATGATGACAAAAATACCAATGATCCATTTGCTAACTTTCCAGGAATGCAAAACTGTTCCATTCTCAGATATCTTAAAATCAGTATTTCTTTACAATTTGATTGTCTTTTTAACCTTACTGAAAAGAGTTCAGAGGAAAAGACAAATAAATGGAAAATTTAAGGTCTTGAAAAAAGTACTTTCATATTTAAATCATAAGAAATATCAACCTAACTTTATCAATTTTGCCTTTTTTCTAGATTTTGAAGAGTTTGCAAATTTTGGGTAACAATGTTTTATTTAATTAATAGTTCTAAGAAGTAATATTGTGTAACAATTTAATTACTACTTTTTATAATTATGAAGATAACTAATTACAATTAAATTCATTCATTTACACAATTTATTTTCAAAATTTAAGAATTCAAAATTGAACTGCTTAAAGGACTGTTTCTGCAATTTCAAGTGACCCTTTAACAATGGCATTGCATATCTGATTTACAACAGTACCCTTAAAAGCTTTGACCAATTAATTATGAATTATGAATCAATGTTTATGTTTTTGAAAACTGATTTGTGGGTTCTATTCTAAGAAATTGAGTTTTTGCCACAAATTCAAATTTTCTAATCCTTATATCTTTGCAACCTGATGGTGCAAACATTTGATATTTCAACTTAGATAATTCAATCTTTTAGAATTCTTAGTTTGAAATATCTAAGTTCTTCAACGTTGAGTTGCAAAGATATAGGTATTCGATGATAAACAAGGGTTTCTTGCATTGACTCAATTTCTTTCCTTCAGAAGCAATAGAAAACTTATTAGAATTAAAAACTTAAGGCTAAAAAAACATTAATATTGTCTATATTATTGTCCAGGTTTCAAGGGTTTCATTGTAAAGCACCAATAGCTTCATCATGCTACACCAGACTTTTCTTTTGTTGGATGGTTCATCTTGACATTCAATGTGGACACTTTTTAATTAGGGGATTAATTGATCCCTTGATTAAATTTATCCATGCAGGGTATGACAAACACAGGACATCAAAGAGGAATGAACTTATTCCATAGGTCTGCATAAGATAGAGATCAATGCTTGATCCTAACAAAAAAGTTCTGGCTAAAAATTTTTTATGTTAAACATTTGATTTGACAGGCGCAGTATTTGGATAGAATTCAGTCAGGATTTAGTGGGAAATTTCCTGGATTCAAGCAACAGTTTGGATCTACTGGTAATTCTGCTGCTGCTCCTTGGGTAAAGTTATTTTTTTGATTTTTTTCAATTAACAAATCACAGAATTTCTTTTTATGTTACAAATCACAGTTGTGAACATTAGAAATTAATTTCAAATTGTTTAAACCCTAATCTGGCTGAATATTGATCTTAGGCCTTGGCCAACTAAAACATGCCCCTCACTTTAGGCTTAAAGTTGGGCTTTTACACCTACTGCCTGAGTCCTCATGCATACTGCCTTATTTTACCTAAATCAGATTAAATCTATATTTAGTCCTAAATCCAGTTATTACAATTCATTAGGTAGCTCTTTTGAAAGTCTTTAACAAAGGGAAGCATAGTGCTGCACAATTTTTCCTAAGAAACTTTGCACAGATTTTTTGCAAAGACACCTTTAAAGGGAATTTGCATATTTTCAGTTTTTCTTGAATACACATTTAGGCTTTGAAAATTTTGCAAATATTTTTTAGTTTTTTTGTATATTTGAGTTTGCTTATTCAAAGGCTTTTTAAAAAATGTTTAATTTGTCATAATTGTGCTAAACAACAAGATTTTAAAGTAAGCATTTGGATTTTTGCAAATCTGCAATTTTTTTGGCAGAATATTAAAGCAGAGCTCAAAGTTTTTGAAAAATGTTTCAACTGTTATAGATTTGTGTCACAATAAGGATATGAAGGGGGGGGGGGGCTCAGAAAATTTTAAAAAAATGAGACTTTAGCTTGAATAGTGTTGAACAGACCAAAATATTTCATTATTAATTATTATGTTGAAAATTCCTTATCAAAAGTTGTCAATTTGTGGAATCAAAATTAAATGACATCATTTACCCAAAAAACTAACTTTAACTTAATTTCTATTTCTAGAATCCAAATCACAATTATATAACCATAAGAACACAGTCTAAATTTTTATAAAAAGAATAGAAATATCTTATCATTATTTGTGAAAAAATATATTTATAAAACTTAAGTTTTCTTCTTCTTTCTTGTTTATCTTGCTTTGAGCACCCATCTCTACTGTCAAGAGATTTCCCTTCCACCTTTTTCTGTTCTATTTATTTTTTCTTCTTTCTTCTTGTTTCTTGTTTTTACACCTCAAGGCCTTTCCAAATAATTCTTTTAACATTGAGTTGTGGAGCGGGTAGGAGAGAGATAAGGAGGTTTGTAGGAAGAAGGGTATAGGGGATTTCTCCCTGTGTTCCTTCATTTTATACTGTTTCCCAGTTACGGGAATTAAGGAATTTACCCATAACTGCACCCCATATGCAAAATGGGGAGTTGTGATCCCTGAAAGCTCTCTTGAGAGTTATCTTCCATGGCAGTAAAGTCCTCACATCTGGTCGAGTAAAAAACTGGTATAGTTGTGCATGGCTTGTATTCCCACGAGGGTTTAAACTCCTCTTTCAGTGCACCAAGCTGAAGATGAAGTTTTGTTTTAATCTATGCTTCCAGCTTCCTCTGTAGGATACAAGATGCGTAACTAAACTCAACGTTTCCACAGCTGCAATTCTGGGACTGCATAGTAGGTCTGTTCTGCTTGAGAGAAAGCAGGCAACTGTTTTATGTGTAAAACTAAATTTTACAAAACAGGGATATTTTGAACAATTATTTTGGTCTGCCTAAAATAAAACATCTTCATTTTTAGATTGGAAGTTTAACAACCCAACAGTATCCAAGAAACCCTCAGATACCTCCTTCCTCACAGGTCATATTTGAAGTATAGAGCCCTTCGTACCCCTTTCCTGTTACCAAATTTACCTGAATCATTCCTTCTTAAATGTTATTGAAATTTTCTGTTTAAATTGGTGAATTGTCAAAAGTAATCAAAGTCAGCATTTTTTTCCAGGCAAAGCTAAGTTTCTCAATTTCAACCACCTATAAACATTCTTTTGGATAATTTGAGTTGTCGCAAAAAAATGGGCCTGATTTGATTAGCCCTTTTGACATTTATTGGATACAAACAGTCAAACACCCAGACTTACAGCTAAATGTATAAATAGTAGAAGTATAGCCTTACTGGATTTATCCCAATTTTATTTTACTAACAAATAATAGCTTTATAAACCATTATAAACGTGGAGTTATAGTAAGGAATATTAAACACTGAAACCCTGTATTGAAACTACAGCCAAACAATATACCTGTATGTTTCTAACTACTTAGGTTGATATATTTTCATTCCAAACAGCATGGATTAATTGATTTTAATTTCTATTTCAGTTTGAAAATGAGTTTGATTATGACGGATACATACCAGTAAGAGAGGATTATCTAAACCTTTAGGTCCCTTCAATAATAAAAAAAAAAGAATTTTTAATTAATAATTTGAATCATCATAAACATTTTTTCTCCTGTTTAACATACAGTTAGAAGAATAATATTATAAAAGGGTTATATCTAGGGTGTCCAATTTTATGACTATGTGGGGTTCTATCCAGATTTAGAATATGAGCTCAGTTTATCAGCATCAAATCAATCAATCATCAACCATTCGATCAATCAATAGTTTAATTCACATTGACTCTGAAATCTATTATGTAATAGAAATTGTTTAAGTTTTAATGTTTGCATAACTGACTTGTAATTCTTTCCAACACCCCTCCATATTGGCAACCAGACCTAAAATGTTAAAACCTAGATTTTTTCCTATTCATCTAATTTTTAATTACTCTGACCGTTTAGTATATCCCTAATCTATTCTTCACTCTATTTCAAAATTTTGTTAAAATTCAAATTCCAAAAAAATTATTCACCAGATATCTTCAACATTTTTGATCAGATAAAGGATTCAAGGATACTGTTGAATATCGGACATTGCTCCTATACTCTTTCTATTAATATTTCTTCAAATCTTAGGATTTTTTTCATAAATCTGAACCCCAACTTCCTAAAATTCTTTTTGAATCCTTTTTAAAACCGAACTTTTTCTAAATTTACTTAACTATTCATATTCAATATAAAACATATTATTTTCATTCAGGGACATAAACAGGATTTTTTTCAGAGAAGGGGGGGGGACTCAGGCTTAACCTTTTTTTACACTGAGAGCTGAATTCCCTCTGAAAATCTTAGTTTTCCCCCTTTTCAGTGGCTTCGCCCTGTAGTATCCCCCTTGTTTTTAGTTTGCCTTTAACTATTAAATTAATTCTAACTTTAATCCGAACATTCCTTTAGAACACAAAATGCTTACTTTTTTATCATTGAAGAACTAAACTCACAGCTGATTCAAACTCAAATCATAATTAATTTTATACTCTGGCCTTATTAAAAACTAAAATGACTAAATCTATGTGATTTTTTTCCCCAAATTTGTGTAATTATAATTATTTTAATAAAATCTTAAATGTTTATGTTTTCAATAAAAATTTGTTATTTATGAATAAAAGTCAAAATTTTACTAATTTTAGATTATTTGTACATTTGAAGCAGTAATATAATCATTAAATACCAAGAGAAAAATCTACTTTGTTTTATTTAACAGCGTTTCCAAAAATAAAAAAATCCTTCTCCTGGGCCCTAGCTCACAGAACATCTAGCTTAGAGTTTAAAGTTTCAGGCATAAAAAAATGGTAGGACTCAATGCTTTCGAGTCTTGTCTTACTGTATTTACAGATTAAAAATGTGCAGGTCAAATTTCAGAAATATTCGAAGACTCTTAAAATATTTTGATTGAATTAAAGTAAATGTTTTGACTTAAGGGACTGTAAACGTATTAATTAAAGAAACGACCTTTTCTTTCACATTATTGATCAGATAAATTTGTAAAGGGGGTACGGTTGAGAATCGGGAATGTCCTTAGTTAAATGGAATGACCTGAAATTTGACCCTATTTTGACAAAATGTTTGATTAGTTTTTTATCTATATTAAAGAACCATGAATTTCATACTTAGGCTTTGCTTGGTTTAGTATATATTTGTTGACTTTATATCAGAGGAGCAAACCAAATGAGATTTTGCCAAAACTCCAAAATTATAGTCTCTATATCTGTGCAACCCACCATCAAGTTTCAAAGAAAAAGGGATTCGAAAATTTGAGTTTACGGCAAAAACTTAGTTCCTTTGTTGAAAATCTTTCCCCCTTTCCCCCCATTAAATTAAATATGTTTACGCAGAGCAGACAAAAAAATTGTTAGGGCGTACGAGGGGGGGGGGGGCATTGGGTGCATGTGTCTGCCCCCATTATGGGTGCACAATGTGGGGAAAAATGCTTAAAGGCAACCTAATTTATCCTTATAAATATTTTTAGACAAAATGTTGAAAGTAAAACCCTGAACAGTGAACATTTTTACGGCACTCCGTTTGCAGTGGAGTAAATAAGGGGGGTTATTGGGGTTATTTTCCCCCCCCCCCCTAGAATCCTGGGGGTAAATACCCCCCCCTAGAATCTTGGAGGTAATTACCTCAGGCCCTGAAAAAAAGGTTGATTTTAAAATTGAATATCTTTTAAATTTGCACGAAAATAATTTAAATTTGCAGATACTTCAGATTTTTCAGATTTTAAGTCAACATATTCTAAATGATTCTAACTTCTATTATACAATTATAGATGGTTTTTTTAATAGAAAAAAGGGTATGGACAATATTATGTCATCTTTTTCCAGAGTAAAACTATCATTTTTTATCTTACATAAAATAAATTCAGTTTTTTACAGATCTTTGTAGTTAATGTAAAATGAATGACTATAATGAAGGATATAAAACATAGGTGAAAGCTGAAAAGAATGAAATGAAGCCTTTATTTGATGGAGTTTGTAAATGCCAGAAATGAGTGGAAAATGCAAATCAAACCCAATTAAAACCAATAATTTGATATACATCATGGTATTTTTCTAGGGGGGGTGGGGAAAGCGCGCCTAATTCTAAAATTTTACCCCCCCTTCAGAATCCTACGCCCCTGGCGTAAACAAACATAACCTATTAAAAGTAATTTTGGTAATCAAAAAAGAAAAGAAAAATTGGACATCTGCAATCTATAGAAAGGCATGGTTTCATCCATTTTAAAATTCTTTTTAGTTTTTACCCAACATTCAAAAAAATTGTTTTGATATATTCCGCGCCATCAAACCTAACTTGCTCGCTGAAATGGTTTGCGGCAATAAACACCAAAAAAGTAAACAAAATAGTTCAATCGGCGATAGTCCAAATGTGGATCCACCAATTGGCACTCTGTATTGCACGAATCACTAAATTACGTATAACAATGACAAGCAATTCAGAAGACCTAAAAACAGCTTTTATGCCTTAAAACATGCCTCACTTAACTTAAAAATTTAATTTCAGAATTGTTTACTACACATTTTCTGGTTTTACTGCTAATGTTATTATTATTTTATCTATGTGTGTGTAAACGTACACAATGCCCTCCGGAGGAACGTACACTGTGACCTCTTGGTTCAATAAATATTGTTATTCAATGTACTCTCAACGAACGAACCGTAGCTTAGCTTAGTTTGAGAAAGGTAGTCGGAGGGAGTGACAAAGTAAAACATTCCAATTGTGAACATTGTAAAAATTGTGAAAATTGTGATTATATAAAAATTACTGTTTCCGACTCAATACATCCAAGGTTTGTAAAATAATACTTTTTATACGCAGCTATTATAAAGGGGGGGGGGGTCCAAAAATCGTTCTCTAGGACATTACCCAAGTGTCTCATACATTCTAAGATCGTTAATCAGGCTAATTGACATCCCTTGAAACCTTCATCTGATCAATAATTTGCAAGATATTGTCGCTAATATTCTAGTGTTAAATTCATGCATATCCCGGATACGTTTTTCTGCATAAAGAGAAAATAAACTTGATAACTTATCAGTGTTCAAAGTATAAAGTTTGATATTCAAGGTGTCTCATAAAAACAGGGTATAATGGGGTCTCCAGACTCGTTTGTAAATGAAGATTGAGACCAATTTTAAAATCTAAATATGATTTGCGATTTAATGAGCCTATAATTTTAGGCTTGTAGATCTAAAAATGACAGTTTTATGGGCTCCTAACGTGTCCAACTGGAGGGAGTAAAAAAGTGTAAAACCGACATTTTGTTGTACTGTTACCCGGTCATTATACTGCAGGCGTACTTAACACATTTGTGGTCTATAAACTTTCAGGCCATATAACGAGGGAGGGGGTAGGGGGCCAAGTGGCCTTTTTAATATTATTTTTATTTGTTTCATTGCATTAAAAAGTTAAAAACATATTCCTAGTTATCCATCAATTAGATAGACATTTGGATTTAAATCTAAAACTATGAGAACTTATGCTGTATGAACAATAGCCTGCCAGGGATGCCAGGAGCTAAACTTAAATTGTTAATTGAATAGAAATCATTCGGATTCATTGAAACAAGTGTAGAAGATTGTAAATTCATTCTTATTGCCTTGAGCAGCCCTTGTTATTGGTAAGTAGTGCAATTTAGTCGTGATTGTTAAAAAAGTGACCCTGAAGAGTACACAATCTCCCCCCCCCTCCCCCCTCCATACCTCCATATCAATGATTTTGATGATGTACGGCAAAATATGAAGTTTTATATTTGTACGGAAAATTAAATTGAATTTGAAAAGACATTTTAACATGGAAGTACAAAATTAATATTTTAACATGGAAGTACAAAATTAATATTTTAACATGGAAGTACAAAATTAATATTTTAACATGGAAGTACAAAATTAATATTTTAACATGGAAGTACAAAATTAATATTTGTGTTCATTTTCCAATAGCTTTGTTGACAATATGTATTTTTAACTGATTTGAAGAAATTTCTAATTTAAAGAAAACTGAAACAAAATCGATCATTTGATTTTAATTAACCTTCTGGCCATTCGATCATAAAAACTTAGTTATGGGAATATCTTCCATTTTTATCTGAAATTTAATATTTTCTTTATTTTGCATTCATATTGTGGAGAATATGATACAAATTTGCTTAGATTAGTTGCATTTCATAGAATTCTGTTATCTATTTTTTTGCAAAGTAATTGCGAACATAATTTCAGTATTCACTTTATAGAGCAATGGTATGTCTGATTCACTACAGTACCTTATCAAGCTTGTCTGATTAATCTACTTTTAATTGTGTTTCTCTTCGAAGTTTCAGAATCAATGAGAAAATTATCTGAATTAAACACTTAGTTTTTTAGCTACGACAATTGCTTTAAAATTATTGATCAAATAAATGTTTCATAATCAGATTCAGACGTTAAATCAAAACTACAGGCTAGTTGGGCGGTCATCCACCGATGACATAGAGAATAGAATATATATGCATCAACTATTATTCATTATTGTATTGCAATGTTATCGTTTTACAAGTATCAATAATGAGGAATAGTATAGTCAAAAAAGCTAGCAACAAATCTTCATTTGTTGCCTAAAAATGTTACTGAATTGTTGGTAGCAATTCATTTTCAGGGGTTAATCAAAAACTACTTTGAAGTGACTGTAGACATGATTTAAATTGACTGTCAATATATATAGAATTTTATTATTTTTAATTGTTGTTTCTCTTTTATCATAAGTGTGCATTTTTGCATAAGAAACAATATGATGGCAATTGCCAGAATGTAACACTTTTAAAGCTGAAAAAATGACGCTATTTCCATCCACATTATTGATCAGATTACAACATGGCCACCCTTGTTTTTTTTTTAAATGGAAAGTCACCTTATATTACAAAACAGTCCCTTTAAAAAACTCTTAATTATTTCCCAGCTCTAAAGATGAAAACAAGAAATTTCCCTCAACCTCAATCATTAGTTCTCCAAAAAAAGGAGATTTCCAGAAGGTAATGATTTTAATTTTATTTCTACCATATTATACCAAACTAACTTAAGAATAAAGGGTTTCCAATCAAAATTCTGCAAGGCATAATAGGGCTCACCATTGTGGGGAAGTAAAATTTGCTTGCGTTGGAAACCCTACTTTGTCGTTAGAGGCAAAGCTTTGCGTGGAAATAAACTTTCTCTCTGTAAAAGTAAGCCTACTTATCTTAGAGAATTTAAAACCAAACTAAGAACATTCCGCTAGCTCTACCGTTAAAAATTTTCCGCAAATCAGTCAAAACAAACAGAGATTACTACTTTTTATAATTATGAAGATAACTAATTACAATTAAATTCATTCATTTACACAATTTATTTTCAAAATTTAAGAATTCAAAATTGAACCGCTTAAAGGACTGTATATGCTATTTCAAGTGACCCTTTAACGATAGCATTGCATATCTGATTTACAAAAGTACCCTTAAAAGCTTTGACCAATTAAGTATAAATTATGAATCAATATTTTTGTTTTTGAAAACTGATTTTTGATATTTCAAACTTAGATCATTCAATCTTTCAGAATTCATAGTTTGAAATATCTAAGGTGTTCAATGTTGAGTTATATAGGTATTAGATAAACAAGGGTTTCTTGCTTCAGAAGCAATGGAAAAATTATTAGAATAAAAAACTTAAGGCTACAAAAACATAAATATTGTCAATATTATTGTTCAGGTTTCAAGGGTTTAATTGTAAATCGGGCATGCCCCTCTTTGATATAGGTTCACTTAAAATTTCAACTACATTCCCTTTAAAGAATTTCTTAAAGCACCAATAATTTTATCATGCTACACCAGACTTTTCTTTTGTTGGATGGTTCATCTTGACATTCAATGTGGACACTTTTTAATTAGGGGGATTAATTGATCCCTTTATTAAATTTATCCCTGCAGGGTATGACAAACACAGGACATCAAAGAGGAATGAAATTATCCCATAGGTCTGCATAAGATGGAGATCAATACTTGATCACAACAAAAAAGTTCTGGCTTAAGATTTTATATGTTAAACATTTGATTTGACAGGCGCAGGATTTGGAAAGAATTCAGTCAGGATTTAGTGGGAAATTTCCTGGATTCAAGCAACAATAGATAAAAGAGACTTTAGCTTGAATAGTGTTAAACAGACCGAAATATTTCATTATTAGTTATTATGTTGCAAATTCCTTATTAAAAGTTAAGTAAATGTGTGGAAACAAAATTAAATTACATCATTTACACAATCAACTAACTTTACCTTAATTTCAATTTCTATAATCCAAATCACAATTATGTAACCATAAGAACACAGTCAAAATTTTTATAAGATGAATAAAAATATTTTTTCATTATTTAGTGTTGTCAACTTGTGAGAAAAAAATATACTTTTTATGTCATAAACTAAATTGTAACAAGGATATTTTGAACAATTATTTTGGTCTGCCTAAAATAAAACATCTTCATTTTTAGATTGGAAGTTTAACAACCCAACAGTATCCAAGAAACCCTCAGATACCTCCTTCCTCACAGGTCATTTTTTAAGATTAGAGACCTTTGTGCCCCCTTTCCTGTTACCAAATTTACCTGAATCAATCGTTCTAAAATGTTATCGAAATTTTCTGATTAAATTGGTGCATTGTCATAAATAATCAAGGTCAGCATTTTTTTTAGGTAAAGTTTTTCAATTGCAAAAAAATGTGGGCCTGGTTGGATTAGCCCTTTTGACGTTTATTAAGAACAGTCAAACACCCAGACTTACAGCTAAATGTATAAATAGTAGAAGTATAGCATGTTTTTTGGGGAAATTAGATTCTGTGGAGTTGCCCCCAAAGATACCCCCTCTGATATATTTTGAGGAGGAAGGCAAAAACATGTTTATTGACTAGGTTATGTACTAAATACATATCAAGCGTTACTGACTATCGAATTATAGAATGTTTAGAAAGCTAATTACAATAGTTGCAATAATGATACAATTGTGCATTAAAGGAGAAATTCTTATTAAGTATTGTTGTGAAGTATATAATGCTTTATCCCTGTAAAATATTGACATCTCTCAACCGTGGATGGTGTTTTCAGACTAATCAAGTAACTCATTCATAGGAACATTTACTTCACAACAATATCTTACTGGATTTATTCCAATTTGATTAATATACTAACAAATAATAGCTTTATAAACCATTATAAAAATCCTTGCTCTGCTGATAAATTCAAAAATGTTCTTGCAACATGATTTTAACACAGAGAACTAAGAGGATGAGACTTCAGAAAAAACTGTACCGTTACAAAATGTATACGAAAGGAATTGAGTCTTTGCTTCAAACTCAAATTTTGTAACCCGTATACAGGGTGGCCAAAATGTACGGATTGTACAGATTTTTTACTTTGTAACCCTAAAATTGTACGGAATGTACGGATTGTACGGATTTTTTTCAAATTGTACGGATTGTACGGAATTTTTAACCTGGAAATACACCGGTTTTTTAAATTTTCACTCATTTCAGCAAATTTTTCATGAAAATTTCAAAAAAAATTCTCGTCAAAATGAAGTTACTTTAACTTATTTTCTGCATTCTAAATAATATTAGATTGATTAATGTTTCAATTGACAATAAAAATTCATTCATAATTTTCGAGATCCCAGAAGTGTTCATTTGAGAATATGTTCCAGAAGTGTTCATTTGAGAATATGTTTATCTATCTTCCTATCTGTCTAGCTATCTGTCTAGCTATCTGTCTATCTATCTGTCTAGTTATCTGTCTAGCTA